GTGCACGTGGGTGGGTATGTGTGTGGGGCGTGCACATGGGTGTGCACGTGGGTGGGTATGTGTGTGCACGTGGGTGGGTATGTGTGTGCACGTGGGTGTGTATGTGTGTGCACGTGGGTGTGTATGTGTGTGCACGTGGGTGGGTATGTGTGTGGGGCGTGCACATGGGTGTGCACGTGGGTGGGTATGTGTGTGCACGTGGGTGTGTATGTGTGTGCACGTGGGTGTGTATGTGTGTGCACGTGGGTGGGTATGTGTGTGCATGTGGGTGGGTATGTGTGCGGGGCGTGCACATGGGTGTGCATGTGGGTGTGTGTGGGTGTGCACGTGGGCGTGTATGTGTGTGCACGTGGGTGTGTGTGTGCACGTGGGTGTGTGTGCATGTGGGTGTGTGTGTGCACGTGGGCGTGTGTGTGCACATGGGCGTGTATGTGTGTGCACGTGGGTGGGTGTGTGCATGTGGGGGTGTATGTGTGTGCACGTGGGTGGGTATGTGTGTGCACGTGGGTGGGTATGTGTGTGGGGCGTGCACATGGGTGTGCATGTGGGGGTGTATGTGTGTGCACGTGGGTGGGTATGTGTGTGCACGTGGGTGGGTATGTGTGTGCACGTGGGTGGGTATGTGTGTGGGGCGTGCACATGGGTGTGATGTGGGTGTGTATGTGTGTGCACGTGTGTGTGTGTTTGCACGTGGGTGTGTGTGTGTGCACGTGGGCGTGTATGTGTGTGCACGTGGGTGGGTATGTGTGTGGGGCGTGCACATGTGTGTGCATGTGGGGTGTATGTGTGTGCACGTGGGTGGGTATGTGTGTGCACGTGGGTGTGTATGTGTGTGCACGTGGGTGGGTATGTGTGTGCACGTGGGTGGGTATGTGTGTGGGGCGTGCACAGAGGCCACGGGATAATCGCAGCTGATACTCCTCAGGAGCTGTCCCACCTTATTTTATGAGACAAAGGTCTCTCACTGGACTGGAATTCACCAACACTGGCTGGTCAGTGAGCCCCAAGGATCCTCCTTTCCCTGCCCTACCCACAGCTCTGGGATTACAAGCAGGCAACACCACACCTAGACTTCTCACGCAGATCCTGGGGCGGGAACCAGACACTCCGGCTTACAAGCCAGGCGCTTTATCAACATGTCCCAGCCCTTTATCTTCCTTCTCTTACAGATGCACCCACCAGATCCTGCCCTATCTTCATGATCTAATCTAACCGTCCCCGCAAGGGGCTGCCCCCAAATCCTGACACTCTGGGACTTCAGGTTTTACTACACAAACTTGGGGGACAGCATTTAGCTCACAGGCACATGCGGACCTCCCTGGAGTGTCGCACTGACTCATCAGGCAACCTGCTACGTCCACTCGGTGGTTGGTTACTTCCTGTACAAGTCCCTAGAAGAGAGCTAACCTTCCCCACTGCCACATCTCACAAGTTCCCACCTCATCCTCATGCTCACCCCCTGCAGCAATGTCTTCCTGAGCTTGTCTTATCAGTGTCTGGGGACACCCCACCTCACCCCGCGTGATACCAGCCACTGTTTGTGGAGGAGCCGTAGAGGTTGTGGTTCCCCACAGGGTGGGAAGTGACCTCCAGGGGACACAGTCTTGATGTCACAACCGGAGGATGCAAAGCACCCAGCTGTCATCCCTGCACATGCAGATGGCAGTGCAAGAGTCACACCCTGCAACTTTCCGACTGCAAGAACCTGCTGCGTGGGAACATGCCTGCCAGGTGTCTCTCTGCGAGCAGCTCCAAGCACACCCTCCAGCTCTGGCCTGTTTGCCCTTGTTGACTCGGGTGTGTCAGATCTGTCTATTTCAACCATGCTTGTCTCGCTGTATCCCTGGCTACCCATTCTCTATGCTCCTTCCCCATAGGCTGCCATTGCCCAAGACAGGTTGAAGGCCCCCACAGCTGGCCTCGGCCCTGAGCCCCTGACTCATACTTCAGGCATCTGCTCTACGTCTCGCTGGGCACCACTTGCTGACCACTCTACTCAGGCAGGACTCAGGGTCCCTACCTCCCAGGGCACAGAACCTGAGCCCTAATAAGCAACTTTCAGTCTATTGCCTCAGTTAAAACCTGGTCAGCCCCCCATTTCTCTCTCCCACCCCAAACCCTGGCTCCCAATACAGAGCAGTCTTTGAAGTTCTCCCAGGAAGGGATTCTTCTTCATTTTAGATGAGGTCATGTGATGTAGCCCAGGCTAGCCTTCTACTCACTATCCTCCTGCCTCAGTCTCTGGAGGGCTGGGGTTATAGGTGTGTTTTCCCAGGACGAGCCCATCCCGAGTCCACTGAAACTCCAATAGTGACTCTGTTTGAAGTCCAAATGGCCTTGATTGTGGTCCGTGTCCAATTCTAACCCCCTATCTAGCAGACAAGATATTGCTGGCTGTCCCCTGCCTCTGCCTGAACACTCTGCTGTGCTTTACTGATGGCCTGGGGCAGCTCTTCCTTCTCGGGTTCTCTGCCTCTCTCCCCTGTTAGCCTCCTCTCTGCATAGGCGTGGCAAGGCGCTTATCCAGTCAGTGGGCATCTGAGTATGTTTTTGGAGAACTGTGATCCAGTGTTCCCCAGAAGTGACAAAGCAGTGGCATTTGCTCCCCTTGGTAGGTGGATAATAGTTCCTGTAAACAATGCCTCAGCCGGGCAGCGGTGGCGCACACCTTTAATCCCAGCACTTGGAAGCAGAGACAGGTGAATCTCTGTGAGTTTGAGGCCAAACTGGTCTACAAGAGCTAGTTCCAGGACAGGTTCCAAAGCAATAGAGAAACCCTATCTCAAAAAGCCAAAATAAATAAAAATGAAAATTATATTTAAAAAACCCAATACCTCCTAACTCCTGGGGCTAAAGGTGACGCTGTGGAGAAAGGGTCTTTCCAGGTCTGGTGACATTAGGGATCTTGACCAGACGGTCATTCGGGTAGGAGACAACTTGAGTCACAGTTGTCCTTGTAAGAGAAAGTGGGAGGTCGCTCAGGGGTAGAGCACATCCTCAGCATGTAGGAGCTTCTGAGTTCAGTCCCAGCACTGTATGGGAGGAAATTGGGGGGCAGTGATGAGACTGTGGGCCAAGGGTTGCTGGCAGTTACCTGACACTAGAAGAGGCAGACTGTAATCTCGAAAAGCCCTCTGGGAACTGGGTTCCATCTTATCGCATCTAAACTGTTGGCAGCCCTTCTCTTTCGTTCGTTCATTCATTCGTTCCTTCCTTCCTTCCTTCCTTCCTTCCTTCCTTCCCTCCTCTTTCCTTTCCCTTCCTCTCTCCCCCTCTCTTTTTCTTTCCCTCTCTCTCTCTTTCTCCCTTTTCTTTCTCTCTCTTTTTAACTTTGAGACAAGGTTTTACTCTGTAGCTCTGGCTAAATTAGAACTCTGTGTACACCAGGCTGGCCTCAAAATTATGGCTATCCTCCTGCCTCAGCTGCAGGACATCAGGAGCTACAGGTGTGAGCCACTGTATTCAGCTGGATTTTGCATTTCTCTCTTCAGCGTTGAGAGAAAACACAGCGCTGCTGTCTCGCCCACTTGGGGTCCTTTGTCACAGCAGCCCCAGGACAGGACAGAGCAAGGTCAGGAAGCTCCCTAATGGCTATCTCACACTCTGGCCATTGCTGAGGGGATCTGGGATGTTTGATTCACAGGCTGTGTGGGTTCCTCTCTGGCTTAGTTTTCTTTTTTTTTAAAAAAAATATTTATTTATTATGTATACAATATTCTGTCTGTGTATATGTCTGCAGGCCAGAAGAGGGCACCAGACCTCATTACAGATGGTTGTGAGCCACCATGTGGTTGCTGGGGATTGAACTCAGGACCTTTGGAAGAGCATGCAATGCTCTTAACCTCTGAGACATCTCTCCAGCCCTCAGGCTTAGTTTTCTTTAAGCTGTATCTCTACTGAGCTAGGATTCACACAGCCTGGAGCCTACACACCATGGTGCTTTACAGCTGAGCGTGGGAAATCATCTCCTGGACCCACCTGCTGCTCTTAGGCAAGGCCACCCCTAAGATACCATCCGGTGTCCCCTTGGCTCACACTGTGTTCTCTTCCTGGGCCCACACTGGGCATTTAGCTCTGAACTAGCAAAGATTCAGGGCCCAGGGGTTGGTAGTGTATTGTGGCTCCCTCCGACCCAGCTCCAACCACAAGGAAAGGTTATGACAGACACCTGCTGACCCAGAGAGGCCCTTTCTGTAACTCTGACTGGGGGTGTATTGATGTCTGTGTCAGGGAGGGGTGGAAACAGGTCTGGACACGGGTGAGAGATGGCAGCAGGGCCTGGGCCCAGTCTCCTGGGTCTCAGACTCTAGGGGTCCTCAGTGAGTGTGCACAGAAACACTGGGAGCCAGCATTGCCGCCCCAGAAACACTGACTTGTGCCAGAAGCTGTGATTGTGTCTCCTCACTCCCAGCAGAGTCTCTCCAAACAATCACAGTTACACTCAGGGAGGTTAAATAAATAACCCAAGTGGTGCCACACAGAAGCTAAAAATAAGATATGAGTGACATCCCCCTCGGCAAGCTCCTTCTCTCCCCTCTCCTTCAGGAGACCCTCTACAGCTGGCAAGGACCCTTCTTCTGCCCCATGTGTGCCATTTGGTCACAGGAGAGTGGAAACGAAGGTGCCTCAATAATCCAGGGATACTCTGGTTGTGTGTGCGTGCGTGCATGCATGTGTGTGTGCACATGCATTTGTGTGTGTGTGAGGGTGGAGATGATTAACCTGTGAGGGCTTCCTAAAAGAGGTAGCATTGCTGGGAGAGCTCAGGTGAAGCTTGTCCTGGGACCCTTTCCTCCTTCCTGCTAGCTTCCCACCTGCCCCCCACCCCCACTTGGTAGCTGATAAAGCAGCCTGCACACCCCGTCGTTCCAGTTCCCCTCCGTGCAGCCAGGGAAGAACTAAGATAGGAAGGGCGTGGGGTTTAAAGGCAGCTGCCCAACCAGGATAGATCCCCGTGCTGTCAGGCGTGGGTGCAGGAGTGTGGTCCAGGGGCACTCGGAGGAACAGGCAGAGGAGGGAGCCATCAGGGTAGAAGAGGAGCTGCATGCCTGGAGCCAGAATGTCCAGCAAAGGCCAGTACCCAGAGCCGGAGCAGGGGTAGGTGAACCTGCTGGTAGAGGACCTAGGGCCATAGACTGGGGCCAGTGGCTGAGGGAGATGGGATGCCAGGGTCACAGGAGGGGGGTGGCAATGTGATAGGGACTACAAGTCCAGGAGTGGCAATGTGATAGGTGGCCCAGGGGGCTCGTGGCACAGATGTGGCTTTGTTCTTCCTTACCCCAGCCTCACATCCCTGTGACAGACAGGTTCCCCATCTTTCCTGGAGATGTTCCAAGCTACAAAAGGCAGCTGTGTGGGCAGATGGGGACCTGGTAGGACACTAGAGGTGTGACCAGGTTGTTATAAAGAAGGGGGCTTCTTGGGAGATGCATTCAGAGCTGAGTTTCTGGTTCCGTGTTTTTTTGTTTGTTTGCTTGTTCTTTGGTTTTTCGAGACAGGGTTTCTCTGTTGCTTTGGAGCCTGTCCTGGAACTAGCTCTTGTAGACCAGGCTGGCCTCGAACTTACAGAGATCCGCCTGCCTCTGCCTCCCGAGTGCTGGGAATAAAGGTGTGCGCCACCATCGCCTGGCTCTGGTTCCGTGTTTAAAAAGCCATATTTCCAGAGGGACACAGAGGCACAAGCTGTAATCTCAGCACTCTAGAGACTGAGGCAGGAGGATTCTGAACTCAAGGACTGGGCTATATAGTAAAATTCTGTATGGGGGGACGGGCGGGAGGGAGGGAGCCTGGGGCTGTAGATGTGTTTCCCCAGGACCAGCCCATCCAAAGCCACGGAAACTCCAATAGTGGCCCTGTTTGAAGTCCCCATGGCCTTGATTGTGGTCTGTGTCCAATTCTAACCCCCTACCAGATGACTGTTCCCTGCCTCCTGCCTGAACCCTTTGCTGTGCTTTACTGATGGCCTGGGACAGCTCTTCTTCCTTCTCAGGTTCTCTGCCCTCTCCCTGTTTGACTGTTAGCCTCCCCTTTGCATGGGCATGTCAGTAGACAGAGTGCTTGCCTAGTGAGCAAGAAGCCCTGGGTTTCAGCCCCTAGCACTGTGTAAACAGATACTAGTCATCTTAGCACTGGGGAGGATGTGGAGGCACAAGGATGTTGGGTGGGGAGGAGGGATTCAAGATCATCCTTGGCTGCTTAGCAAGTTTGAAGTCAGCCCAGGCAACATAAGATTCCATCTCAAAAAAAAAAAAAAAAAAAAAAGGCTGGGGGCTGAGGTGGAGGGTGGAGGCTGAGGGTGTTCTTGTGTCTATGGAACCATTGCATTCTTTTACATTTTTGTTTTGTTTCTTTTTCTTTTTTTCTTTCTTTCTTTTTTTTTTTTTTTTTTTTTTTTGCTTTTTTGAGACAGGGTTTCTCTGTGGCTTTGGAGCCTGTCCTGGCACTCACTCTGTAGACCAGGCTGGCCTCGAACTCACAGAGATCCACCTGCCTCTGCCTCCTGACTGCTGGGACTAAAGACGTGTGCACCACCATCTGGCCCAGAATTACATTCTTATTGCAGAAAATCTTGAAGTTCCAGGAAGGTGCTGATGATAAAAGGCATGCTCCTAGCACTTAGGAGCTGTCTCGAAACACACACACGGAGGGCTGGGGAGAGGGCATAATGGGTAAAAGGTTGGCCACACAAGTCTGAAGGCAGAACTCTGTCACACACACACACACACACACACACACACACCATCGGCACATGACTATAATGTTGGTGAGAAAAGAGGCCTGTGGGGTCCAAAAAGACCCATTGTTTAGCAAGCACTGTGCACAGGACAAATTAGCTGCTGCTTGGAGCCTTAGTTTCCCCATCCTTACAATGGAGCAACACTGTGCGCCAGCTTCAATATTACGCTTTCTTCCAGCTCCCTTCCGTGTTGTTTTTGATGGCCACAGACTCCGTCGCAGCTTCCTGTGCAGCAGGTCCCGCCAGGACAGCTGCTCTGCACCGCTCATTGCTGACCATCCGCATCACAGGGCCTTTGCCCTGCTGCCCCACGTCCACAGTGTCCAATGCCCCTGTGTCTCCATTGCAGTCAGAGGCAGGGTGACTCTCAGAGCTGCCTCTGGAGGTGTCTGTGTGCTGATCCTGTATAATTACAGTCTCATGTCACATAACTGACACGTCAGCCAGTGACAGTCAGATGTACAACAGTAATCCTACGGATTATAGCCAGGCTGAGTGAAGGAGGCTGCCCCACACTAAGGAGCCCTGGGGGCCTCAGCACATCCCAGGCTCAGCCCATGAAGGCAGTAGGAGGCCATGGACAATATCAGAACAAGGCCAGTGTGACCAGGAGCCCGCAGAGCCCAGGCAGGGAGCACTGGGGAGGGCTGGTGACATTGACACCCCAGAAGGAATGCTCAGGAAGAGGCCTGAAATGCGCTAGGGCCTAGAATCTAAGCCAACTGTGCCAGCCATGCTGGCTGAGCCAACCAAGCAGGCTGCCCAGCCAGGCCCAGTTCCTCCAGGGAGCCCCTGCAGGGAAAGGCCCCTGGTCCTCTGGGAGGGGGTCTAGGTGGAGGCTCCCTCAGGCCTGAGTGTAATGAAGGAGGGTCTGGGTCCCCATGAAGCCCTGGCAGGAGTTGAGCCTGCTCGGGGACAATCCTCACCAATGCTGGTGTGAGCTGTCTCCTGCCAGTCCCAGATAAGGGGGATGTGAATGTGGAAGACTCAGCCAGGAAATCAGCAGCACTGTCTGAAGGCAAAGGGCAAGTCTGCCTTCTCCTGTCTCCCACATTTGTGAGCTGGGACAATCCCTCAGAACCTGCAGTGGCTGCTCTATTTACCCCAGGCTCTATCCTAAGAGTTCTACCTACAGGGGTGCTGTCCTGAGAGTTCTGTCCACAGGGGGCGCTGTCTTGAGAGTTCTGTACACAGGGGGTGCTGTCCTGAGTGTTCTGTCCACAGGGAAAGCTGTCCTGAGAGTTCTGTCCACAGGGGGCTCTGTCCTGAGAGTTCTGTCCACAGGGGGCGCTGTCCAGAGAGTTCTGTCCACAGGGGGCGCTGTCCTGAGAGGACATGTGACTGGAGAGGCAAGGGAGCACCTATGCTGTCCCTATAGGAGCATTGCTCCTGAGAGGACTGTTTTGAGTGCTGTCCACTGTGGGGCGCTGTTCTGACATGAATTCTGTTCACAAAGAGTGATGGTGCCAAGAGCTCTGTTCAAGGAGTATGCTGGTCTCCAAAGCTACGCAGAAACCCTATCTCGGAAAACCAAAAACCAAACCAAACCAACCAAACAAAAAAGAGTGTGTTGGCTTTAGGGGAACCTCCAAAGGCCATGATCAGGTCCCAGCATGGGCAGATGCTGTTCACACAGATGCAAAGCCTTCACCTGAATTCATTCAGGTCATTGCAAAAACCCAACACACACACAAACACACACGTGCACAGATTCAGAATACAGACACTTATTCAGACACATGGATGTAGGCACTCATTTACACACTGACACAGCAATATACAAAATGACATTCAGCCTTGTGAGTTAGCTTGTGCCAGCAATTTCAGCTCTGTTAGAAGCAGAAGCAGCAGGATCAGGAATTCACAGGTCGCTTCGAGGTATCTAATACTTTGGAGGCTACCATGAGCTACATGAGACCTTGTCTCAAAAAACCAACCAACAGATGAATAACAACAAAGACAAAACACTCTCTGGACCCAGCATTCAGAAGAGCTCAGCCCCACCGCAGTGTCCGGCCTGTTGGGTCATAGGATGAGCTTCTGGGTGTGGCACAAATCATGGGTGATTGGATTGTGTCTTAAAGATGGAGACAGTCCCAGACACCCAGTTATCTGCCCCATATTGCAGGATGGACCCCTTTGAGGAAAAGCTGTGGAGGCTGAAGGAGGCCTTCAACACAGGGAAGACAAAGTCGGCCAAGTTCAGGGCTGAACAGCTACTAAATCTGGGCCACTTCCTACAGGATAACAGCAAGGAGCTGCATGACGCCCTGGCTGGGGATCTGGGCAAGGTGTTGTGGGGCTGTGGGGTGGGGCACACAAAGGTGCTGATGTGTCTTTCCTAGGCTGGGCTACATCCTTTTTGAGACCTCGAGTAGCTAAGGAGGGCTCATACCTTGTAATGTGACCCAAACTGTATCCTGAATATTCCATCCATGCCTTCTATGCAGAATGCAGCATTTACTCTGGAACACATAGAGCCCCACCCCACCCCACCCCACCCCAGAGGCCAGCTGGATGGCTGTTGTCAGGTCACAAATAGGGAAACTGAAGCACTCCCGTTAAGTCACTTGCCTGAAGTTACAGGACCAGGCAGTGGCAGGTCAGAATGCAGCTCCCATGGGCTCATCCTGCTGCCCTTACGTCGTGTTTAAATGCTCAAGGACACTACCTCACGCCCTTCCTGAATGGTAGACCCCAGCCCAGCCTTGAACCAGACCTCCCCATCCCACAGTCAGCCTTCGAGTCAGACTTGAGTGAGATCATCCTGTGCCAGAATGAGGTGGACCTGGCTCTCAAGAACCTGCAGACCTGGATGAAGGACGAGTCTGTGTCCACCAACATGGTGAGTACTGTTGTTTCAGTAATGGTGGGTGGAGGTGATGGTGCTTGCTCCAGGCCCCTTCCTGCCCTTGAAACCAAAGTAAGCCAGTCTTTACATTGGGGACCCATCACCCAGGGAGGTGAGGACCCATGGGAGTGGGGGAGGCTGTTACTCATTTGGCACCTCACTACCACCCTGCATCCTAGCTCACGAAGCTGAGCTCAGCCTTCATCCGGAAGGAGCCCTTTGGCGTGGTGCTTATCATTGCACCCTGGAATTATCCATTGAACTTGATGATCATGCCCCTAGTGGGGGCCATCGCTGCAGGTGAGTGGGGTTTGGGAACCCCCTAGTCGGACAGTCCTTCCCAAAGAGGGCATCCAGAGTTTCCTGGAGGGTGCAGGCACAGGCCTCACTCCTCTACTTCCCTATTGGCTCCTTCAGGGAACTGTGTGGTGCTGAAGCCATCAGAGATAAGCAAGAACACAGAGAAGGTGCTGGCTGAGCTGCTGCCCCAGTATCTGGACCAGGTGGGTATGGCTCTGCCTGGCAGCACCCGGCATTCCCATATCCCTGTCCTGGCCAGTGGGGAGGTCCCCGCTGTCCTTGCGTCTGCCTCCTGAGCTGTCATCCTCTTTTGCAGAGTTGTTTTGCTGTGGTGCTGGGTGGGCCCGAGGAGACTGGGCAGCTGCTGAAACACAAGTTTGACTACATCTTCTTCACGGGTGAGGATGGCCCTGGCCAGGATCCCGGGCATGGGGACAGCAGAGAACACGGCGTAGAGAACAAATCAAGAGGTGGAGGTGTCCCTGAGGGTGGCTGTCCAGGACCTCTGAGAATCTTGGAGATTGGATCCTGGGTGGTCAGGATAGGTGGAACAGCCCAGAACTTGGGCTGAGAAAGGTGTCTGTGGAGAGGGGAGGCCAAAGTTCATGCCTAGACCAGTTGTCCAGGTGAAGATTGTGTCTCTTGACCCTGTTCTCAGGGAGCCCTCGGGTAGGCAAGATTGTGATGACAGCTGCTGCCAAACACCTAACGCCCATCACCCTGGAGCTGGGGGGTAAGAACCCCTGCTATGTGGACGATGACTGCGACCCCCAGACTGTGGCCAACCGCGTGGCCTGGTTTCGCTACTTTAACGCTGGCCAGACCTGTGTGGCCCCTGATTACATCCTGTGTAGCCAGGAGATGCAGGAGCGACTGGTACCTGCCCTGCAGAATGCCATCACACGTTTCTATGGGGACAACCCACAGACCTCTCCCAGCCTGGGCAGAATCATCAACCAGAAATATTTCAAGCGGCTCCAGGGCTTGCTGGGCTGTGGCCGCGTGGTCATTGGTGGCCAGAGCGATGAGGGAGAACGCTACATTGGTGAGTGTCCTGTTTCCATCAGTGGCACACAGCCCCCCTGGGCTGAGTCTCTTCCATACTGGAGGGGCTCACTCTGTACCTCGAGTCTGATCCCAAAACCGAATCCTAGTTTCTGGTGCTAGGAGTCCCCAACACTGTGGTTCCTTGGCCTGTGACTCTTCAATGTTAAACTGCTGTCCCACAGCTTAGCCCCCTTGAGCTACAACCCCATTCCAGGTGTCTATACGGTGGCTTAAATTCCTATCTTCTATTTTCCCATATCCCAGAAGGCCAGAGTCCTACACACTAAGCCTGGAGTCCTCTGAGGTCAGACCCTGAGTCTCCCCTTCTTGGAGCCCAGACTCTGTCTCGTCAGAGTCCCTGTTCCTCAGAGTATCCTTCCTAAGAAAGGCTGTCTACTTCCTGTGTCTTCAGCACCCACAGTGTTAGTGGACGTGCAGGAGACAGAGCCCGTGATGCAGGAAGAGATCTTCGGGCCCATCCTGCCCCTGGTGACCGTGAGGAGCCTGGATGAGGCCATTGACTTCATCAACAGACGGGAGAAGCCGCTGGCATTGTATGCCTATTCCAACAGCTGCCAGGTGGGTGCAAACAGGAGAAGCTGCTAGCATTGTATGCCTATTCCAGCAGCTGCCAGGTGGGTGCAGACAGGAGAAGCTGCTAGCATTGTATGCCTATTCCAGCAGCTGCCAGGTGGGTGCAGACAGGAGAAGCTGCTAGCATTGTATGCCTATTCCAGCAGCTGCCAGGGGGGTGCAGTCTCCATGGGCCATGGGAGAGGTGGCAGGAGAGAGCACACAGGCCGTCTGGATAGTAACAGAAGTTCAGGGAATTCTGGTGGCTTCTTAGGCTCTGTCCCTGCCCTCCCTCCCAGAAGGCACTGAGGTTCCCTCCCACATCCTATCTAGATTTCACACATTCTCCTGGGCACCATCACATCTGGCTGAGCCAAGAGTCTTGTTTTTCTAGACAGGGTTTTATGTAGCTCTGCCCCGTACTTACTATCTGGATGAGATGACTTCAAACTCCTGATGCTTCTGCCTTCACATCCCTAGTTCTGGGATAATGGGGTGATGTGGGATTCCCCTCTTTATTCTGTGAATATCATTGGTTAATAAAGGAACTGCTTTGGGTCTATAGCAGAGCTATAGGGGAACAGAACTAGGCAGGGAAACTAAACGAAATGCTGGGAGAAAGGAGGCAGAGTCAGAGAGAAGTCATATAGCCCCGCCAGAGACAGACACCGAAACTTCACCCATAACCACCGCCACATGGTGATACAGAGATTAATGGAGATGGGTTAAATTAATAGGTAAGAATTAGCCAATAAAAGCCGGGCGGTGGTGGCACCGCCTTTAATCCCAGCACTTGGGAGGCAGAGGCAGGTGGATCTCTGTGAGTTCAAGACCAGCCTGGTCTACAAAGGGAGTTCCAGGACAGGCTCCAAAGCTACAGAGAAACCCTGTCTCAAAAAACTAAAAAAAAAAAAAGAATAAAAATAATATTCTTTTTTAAAAAAATATTTATTTATTTATTATGTATACAATATTCTGTCTGTGTGCATGTCTGCAGCCAGAAGAGGGCACCAGACCTCTTTACAGATGGTTGTGAGCCACCATGTGGTTGCTGGGAATTGAACTCAGGACCTTTGGAAGAGCAGGCAATGCTCTTAACCACTGAGCCATCTCTCCAGCCCTAAAAACAATATTCTTATTATTCAATAAGAAGCTAGAGCTAGTGGGCCAAGCAGTGATTTAATTAATACAGTTTCTGTGTGATTATTTCGGGGCTGAGCAGTCGGGAACCAATAAGCAGTCTCCCCCCAACAATGGGGTACATACCGTACCTGGTTTTAGGTGGTGTTAGGAATCAAACTTAAGGCCTCAGACATGGACACTGCCCATGGAGCTCCATCCTCCAGCCCTCAACAATGGACTTGTAAATACACTTTTATTTGAGAATACATTAATGGACAAGTCACAGAGGCAGTAGACTTCCCCATGTACCTACCATGAAGACGGACAAGAAGCAGAAGTCCCGTGGGCATTGCCATACCTGTCCCTGCATCCGTGTCGTCTGTGTTCCTAGTCTAGTGTTTTATGAACAAGGCCTCCGTCTGGATGGCCAGGTCTCCACAATGTCCCCAGTTTTCTGACAACTCAATCCAGAGAAATTTCCCATAGAGGCAAAGGCTGTCTCCGAGTGCCCAAGAGTTGTGCATGGCTGAGGAGATTAACAGTCATTTAGGCAAGGCTCTGTCTGCCAGTGGCTTTGCTGGGAGCTGTCGTACTTCTCAAGAGCTTAGGACAAACCTCTAAGCCAGCCTCTGATGGGGGGGTGGTGCTGCAGGGCCGTAGAGAATGCTGATAACCAGGCTCCTGAAGATACACTCTCGACTCTGGGAGAAAGTATTGCTTCCTGAACCATTTATTTGACAGAATAGATGGGTGTGTGTACATGCATGTACGTGTGTATGTGTGTGTACATGTGTATATATGTAATTTTCTTCATTTTCTGAGGCAGGTTCTTGTAAACAAGACTGGTTTTGTGCTCCCATGTCTCTAAGAATGACCTCGAACTCCTGGGGCCAATCTCAGGCTGCTAAGCCCAAACCTGACCTTAGTGACCCAAATTCTCCCCACACAGCCCCTCACTTCTTTCCTAAATAAATACAGGACTCAGAAACTACCTCATGTTCCCCCACTGGGACACCTCTGTGACCACCTGGCACCTCACTGTCCCCACTCTGCCTGCATCTAGCCTCATGCTGCCTCCCTGAGATTATGTCCCAACACCTTGCTGGGGCCACATAGAGGCAGCAGACACACGGGGAACACGTGCACAGCATAGGAGTCTGTGAGTCTGTCCAGACCCACCTTGAACCTCAGGCCCTTACTGAAGCAAATTATAAACATGTGTTTTACAAGTTCCTCTTTCTCTCCCAGGTGATCAAACAAGTCCTGGCCCGGACCAGCAGCGGGGGCTTCTGCGGGAACGATGGCTTCATGCACTTGACCCTGTCCAGCCTTCCTTTCGGAGGAGTGGGTAGGTGGCAGCAGCCCTCGGCCTCCTCACTCTGCTGCTCGAGCGCCCTGACTACAGGACGTGCGGCTCACCCTCAGGGGAGCGGACACGAGAGGAAGCCCCCTCCACAGACCGTGTCCACCTAGCCTGCCTCCCACCTCCCTACAGTCTGTGGTGGAACCTTCCAGGTGTGCTTGCACTTGCATGTGTGGGTGAGGAACCGAGAAGCCGTTTGGTGGGTTTTCAGAAAACACACCTGAGGCTGCCAGCCATTAGGCACCTTGATGTCACCAAGAAACACTTGTCCTCAGTCACCCCTCCCCCACCTGGCCATGGGTGTTTTTACTCAGCTGTGAGGCTGCATGCTTGCCCCTCCAGCCTTCACTTGTCCCTGTGAACTAAGCCCTGGGCACCTCAGATTTCAGGGTGCCTGGGCTGTGGAGATGCATGCCCTGTAGACACACGTCCCCCTCTGAACCACTTTATTATTGAAAGGGTGTCCTGTCCTTTCGCCTGGTGAGTCTCAGTAGTGTGAGGAGTGACATTTGTGGCGCTGGCCTCGCCTGGTCTGTCTAGAGGACCTGCTCACTTTTCTCTCTCTTACTTCTGCCTGCTGTGGCAGCCACTCCACTCGGCCCTAACATGTCATCCCCCTCTGAGGTTCTCTGGGTTATCTGCTAGCCTGAGTCCTTTGGACTCACCCACTATTCATAGAGTAGACCCCCCAACCCTCTGACCTCACTCACTCCAGAAATCACAGCTTCATTCCCTCTGCTTCGCCCAGGCCATTCCCCTGGACTTCCCTAGCTGGGTCCATGTCCCTTCCTAGACACTGGGAACTCCAAGGATCTGACGATTCACTTACTTTCTCACCCGCAGAGAAGGGCGTCATTGTCCTAGAAGGGGAGACTAGGGCAAAGTCACTTACTCAAGGTGGCATAGCTATCCAGGGCGAAGCTGGGATCACCCCACTCTCACCCGGCAACTCGGCCTCAGGACAAAATCCACTGGCCATTGCCTGTCTGTTCTGCACCAGCAGCTGGTAAGCTGGTGCCAAGGAGGCTCAGGGCTCAGCCTTTCACTCACAGAGCCTTGTGTAGCCCACAGGACAATGGGGAAACAGAGGCTCAGATAGACCCTGTCAGAGCAAGGTCTGCGATGCCCCTTCAGTTGGTCGCTGAAGGTTTGACCCTTTGTCCCATGCTGCCCACAGGATCGAGTGGGATGGGCAGGTACCACGGCAAGTTCTCCTTTGACACCTTCTCCCACCAGCGTGCCTGTCTGCTGCGCAGCCCTGGGATGGAAAAGCTTAACGACCTCCAATACCCTCCTTACAGTTCCTGTAATGAGCAGTTTATAAGCTGGGCCATGGGCTCCCAGAGCTGCATCCTCCTATGAACGCCACCCCCACTCCCTCCTGCTGCCCAGGCCCTGCCCCACCTGAGCTTTCAGCCGCACTCACATCCCCAGTGGTTCCGAAAGGCAGGTGTCTGGCCCAGCCTGTGCACACCCCACTTCAAGAACTTTTCCTGAACAGACCTGCAGCCAGGCAAGACCTGCGGGTGGCTGGTTCAGTCCCTTTCCAGAGCATGGCCCCTCGCAGCCCCCTGACCCTCTCCTTAGGCAGATCTGCTGACAGAGAAACCCCCTCCCCAAGGTTGAGCAGATCTGGTGACTGAGGGGGACTTCCTTTGTCAGATCCTAGACAGGGTCCCAGAAGACAGAGCAGTGGCTCCCAGCTGCATCCACACCTGGAGGGTGGCTTTGTCCCATCTGAAGTGACATGATCTTGAACACTGATCAGATTTATTGGTGGAATCTGCCTGAAGGGTGTTCATTATTTACTTTTCTGTTGCTTTGATCCAATGACCTGATAGGCAAGTTCAAGGTGGAAGATTCTCTCATAGCTCATGGTCAGAGGGTTCACTCAATAATAATTTCTGATGGAATTTAGGATCTTGGCAGGAGGGTCATCCACACAGTGCTAATTTCAGGTGCCTTGTAAGAGAGAAGAGGGGCGGGGGGGGGCGGGTGGAGGTGGGGTAGCGCAATAGGGTACTTGCAAAGTTTGTGGGAGGCCAGGGTTGCTGAAAGAGAAAGGTGTGTAGGGGTGATGTGTTCCCAAACAAGACAGAGATAATGCAGTAGATATGTCTCGAGACAAAGGTTATGTAAAGATAGACAACTGGCGTGGTGGCTACAACCAGATCTTCTCAGCAGTCACCTGAAGCTGGAAGAGGTGAGAGAACCCTCCCCGACAGGCTTTTAGAAACCAGGGCCGGGCTGTGGTGGCACACGCCTTTAATCCCAGCACTCGGGAGGCAGAGGCCAGCCTGGTCTACAAGAGCTAGTTTCAGAATAGGAACCAAAAGCTACGGAGAAACCCTGTCTCGGAAAAAAAAAAAAAAAAAAAAAAAGAAACCAGGGCCTCAGCATTTCTTTTTTCTTTCTTTTCTGAGATAGAGTCTCAGTATACAGTCCTGACTGCCCAGGAATTCATGGCTATCCTCCTGCCTCAGCTGCAGGAGATCTGGAGTTACAGGTGTGAGCCACTGTATTCAGCTGGACTGTGCATTTCTGTCTTCAGTGTTGAGAGAGAACACAGCGCTGCTGCCTCACCCACTTGGGGTCCTTTGTCACAGCAGCCCCAGGACAGGACAGAGCAAGGTCAGGAAGCTCCCTAATGGCTATCTCACACTCTGGCCATTGCTGAGGGGATCTGGGATGTTTGATTCACAGGCTGTGTGGGTTCCTTTCTGGCTTAGTTTTCTTTAAGCTGCACCTCTACTGAGTTAGGATTCACACAGCCTGGAGCCTACACACCGTGGTGCTTTAGCTGAACATGGGAAATCATCTCCTGGACCCACCTGCTGCTCTTAGGCAAGGCCACCCCTAAGATACCATCCGGTGTCCCCTTGGCTCACACTGTGTTCTCTTCCTGGGCCCACACTGGGCATTTAGCTCTGAACTAGCAAAGATTCAGGGCCCAGGGTTGGTAGTGTACTGTGGCTCCCTCCGACCCAGCTCCAACCACAAGGAAAGGTTATGTATTGATGTCTGTGTCAGGGAGGGGTGGAAACAGGTCTGGACACGGGTGAGAGATGGCAGCAGGGCCTGGGCCCAGTCTCCTGGGTCTCAGACTCTAGGGGTCCTCAGTGAGTGTGCACAGAAACACTGGGAACCAGCACTGCCACCCCAGAAACACTGACTTGTGCCAGAAGCTGTGATTGTGTCTCCTCACTCCCAGCAGAGTCTCTCAAAAATTATGCTAGGCCGGGCGGTGGTGGCGTACGCCTTTAATCCCAGCACTTGGGAGGCAGAGGCAGGCGGATCTCTGTGAGTTCGAGACCAGCCTGGTCTACAAGAGCTAGTTCCAGGACAGGCTCCAAAACCATAGAGAAACCCTGTCTCGAAAAAACAAAAAAACAAAAAAAAATCATGCTAGTAAGGGACTAGAGAGATGGTTCAGGGGTTTCCAGCACTGGCTGCTCTTCCAGAGGACCTGGGTCTAGTTTCTAGCTCTCAGATGGCATCTCCATTTCTGTAACTCCAATTCCAGGATATCTGATGCCATCTTCTGGCCTCTGTGGATACCATGAATATGATATGGTACACATATATACATGTAGACAAAACACCCATACACAAAAAATAAACATATGTTTGTTTGTTTGTTTAAATTATGACATTAGGCTCAGAGAGAGTAAGCAACTTGACTGGGATCACAGAACAAATAGAAAAGAAAGATGTGAGTGACATTTGCCCATTACAGCAACTCCTCTGCCTTCAGAGTCTCCTCTATGACTGTCAGTTCCCTTCCGTCCTCTGTCCCCTGTGTGTCATTTGGTCACAGGAGGGTGGAAATAAAAGTGCCACAATTTTTCTTCTAGACAGTGACACCTTGGCTGTCCTGTGTGTGAGGATGGAGATGACTTCCTGGAGGAGGTGGTATTGCTGTCAGGGACCTGATGTGGTTTGTCTTCACCCCCACTCCCATGACTTTTCTCCTCACTAGCTAACTTCCTGTCATCCTCTCCAGAACACTCAGACCAGCAAAGAAGCCTGCACAGCCTGCCATTCCGGTTCCCTATAGCTGTGCCCAGGAGGCAGTGCCAGGGCGAGGGCTTTAGGAGGTGGCCGCCCCACCCACCATCTGTTAGCGCTCCTGCCTGCACTTCCAGGTAGGGCAAGGTAGTGTAGTCAGAGGTAAGAGAGAGTCTGGCTAAGTAAGGAGCCACACATCTGGAACCAGAATGTCTGCTACGGACGCAGGCGCGGAGCCCTCATTGGGGTAGGTAGCGTCACTGCTACTGGTGGCAAAGGGTCTTAGTACAAAAGGCCTTGGGTGGGGGACAGTTACTGGTGGAATTGGGTGAGAGGCAGGGCTGGGAGTCAAGGGGTTGAGATCACCAAGGAGCCTAGGACAGCAAAGTGACAACAGGACCAGGGGTGGAGGGCAGAGGTACAGCCTTCTGCTTTCTCTTTCTTCACGTTTCTGTGACAAATAGGAAGCGCTCAAGTCCCCTAGGCCTGGGGACAAAGCCATCCTGTCTGGAGGAGCTCCATACTGCTGAAGGGACAGCCATGTGAGCTAATGGAGACCTGGCTAGGGACACCAGAGCTGTGATTAGGGTGTCAAAAAGGAGGGACTTCTTGGGAGGCAAGGTCAGAACTCAGGGTTTTATTTGTTTGAGGTAGGGTCTTACTGTGTAGTTCTGACTACCCTGGAATTCACTATGTAGACCAGGCTGTCCTCAAACTCACAGAGATCTACTCACCACTGCGTTTTGAGCTGAAGTTAAAGGCATGTGCTACCACACCCAATCCAGGTTTAGGATTAAAAAGTCACATTAGCAAAGGGGTCATCTCAGCTCTCTAGATGCTGAGGTAGTAGGATCATGATTCAAGGACAGCCTAGTTGTTTCATTTTTAAATTTTTTTTTATTTTTTAAAAGATTTATTTATTTATTAAGTATACAACATTCTGCCTCCATGTATGCCCACACACCAGAAGAGCCACCATGTGGTTGCTGGGAATTGAACTCAGGACCTCTGGAAGAACAGCCAGTGCTCCTAACCACTGAGCCATCTCTCCAGCCAGAGTTGTTTCAAAAAAAGGAAGGAAGGAAGGAAGGAAGGAAGGAAATTTTTTTAAAAAGGAAAGAAAACAATGGGGCTGGGGATGGCAGGGTGCTTGCCTGGAGGGCATGAAGCTCTATGGTTGTGCCCCAGGACAGCATACACTGCATGTATGTAATCCTGGCAATTGGGAGGCAGTAGCCCAAGCATGAGAATCAGGGGTTCCAGGTCATCCTTAGCTAGATAACAAACTTGAGGCTAGCTTGAGCTACATAAGGTCCTGTCCGGAGCTGGAGAGATGGCTCGGTGGCTAAGAGCGCTGGCTGCTCTTCCAGGGAAGCAGGGTTCAGTTCCAAGCACCCATATGGTAGCTCACAACTGTCTGTAACTCCAGTTTCAGGAACATGATACTCTCACACAGACCTACAAACAGACAAAACACCAATACACATAAAATAAAAATAGTTATTTTAAAAAAGAGATCATATTATTGTGCTGAATGGCACATGCCTTTAATCCTTTCACTTTGAGGCAGAGGTGGTGGGTAGGTGAATCTCTGTGACTCTGAGGCCAGCCTGATCTATGTAGAGAGTGTCAGGCTAGTAAGAGCTTCCTAGTGAGACCTAGTGGTTCCAAAATAAAAAATCCCTGGTTACTGTGGCTCTGAAAATGTCACATTCTCTTAGAAAACGGGAAGCTAGGGGACTGGAGAGATGGCTCAGCGGTTATGAGCATTGCCTGCTCTTCCAAAGGTCCTGAGTTCAATTCCCAGCAACCACATGGTGGCTCACAACCATCTGTAATGGGGTCTGGTGCCCTCTTCTGGCCTGCAGGAATACAAGCAGACAGAATATTGTATACATAAAAACGGGAAGCTACCAACAGGCCTTGAGGAGATGAGAAAAAAGTATGTAACTAAAAAGTATGTAACTGACAGGCACATGTCACCTCCATACGCAGAGGCAGGAGCATTGCTTCAAGTTCAAGGTTGCGTAAAGAATACCAGGTTGACTAAGGCTGCATGGTAAGACTATGCCTCAAACCCATCACATACATGGTGATCCTCTTCTCAGGTGACCCTAGCCTAAGTCAGGATGACAGTCAACGCTAATTGGAACAAATCAGCTAGTCTCTCTGAGCCTCACTTTCTGTTCTTTAGTATGGGGTAATGGATGATCTCTTCTGGACTGAATGAGATGGCACTTGCCACCCTTCTGTCCAATCGCCAGCTCTGACTTCCTTCCAGCTCCCTTCCGTGTTGTTTTTGATGGCCACAGACTCCGTCGCAGCTTCCTGTGCAGCAGGTCCCGCCAGGACAGCTGCTCTGCACCGCTCATTGCTGACCATCCGCATCACAGGGCCTTTGCCCTGCTGCCCCACGTCCACAGTGTCCAATGCCCCTGTGTCTCCATTGCAGTCAGAGGCAGGGTGACTCTCAGAGCTGCCTCTGGAGGTGTCTGTGTGCTGATCCTGTATAATTACAGTCTCGTGTCACATAACTGACACGTCAGCCAGTGACAGTCAGATGTACAACAGTAATCCTACGGATTATAGCCAGGCTGAGTGAAGGAGGCTGCCCCACACTAAGGAGCCCTGGGGGCCTCAGCACATCCCAGGCTCAGCCCATGAAGGCAGTAGGAGGCCATGGACAATGTCAGAACAAGGCCAGTGTGACCAGGAGCCCGCAGAGCCCAGGCAGGGAGCACTGGGGAGGGCTGGTGACATTGACACCCCAGAAGGAATGCTCAGGAAGAGGCCTGAAATGCGCTAGGGCCTAGAATCTAAGCCAACTGTGCCAGCCATGCTGGCTGAGCCAACCAAGCAGGCTCCCCAGCCAGGCCCAGTTCCTCCAGGGAGCCCCTGCAGGGAAAGGCCCCTGGTCCTCTGGGAAGGGGTCTAGGTGGAGGCTCCCTCAGGCCTGAGTGTAATGAAGGAGGGTCTGGGTCCCCATGAAGCCCTGGCAGGAGTTGAGCCTGCTCGGGGACAATCCTCACCAATGCTGGTGTGAGCTGTCTCCTGCCAGTCCCAGATAAGGGGGATGTGAATGTGGAAGACTCAGCCAGGAAATCAGCAGCACTGTCTGAAGGCAGAGGGCAAGTCTGCCTTCTCCTGTCTCCCACATTTGTCAGCTGGGACAGTCCCTCAGAGCCTGCAGTGGCTGCTCAACTTGCTTCAGGCACTGTCTTGAGAATTGTACCTACAAGGGATGCTGTCCTGAGAGCTCTGTCCACAGGGGGAGCTGTCCTGAGAGTTCTGTCCACAGTAGGTACTGTCCTGAAAGTTCGGTCCACAGGGGGCGCTGTCCTGAGAGCTCTGTCCACAGGGGGCGCTGTCCTGAGGGTTCTATCCACAGGGGGCGCTGTCCTGAAAGTTCTGTCCACAGGGGGCGCTGTCCTGAGAGTTCTGTCCACAGGGGGCGCTGTCCTGAGAGCTCTGTCCACAGGGGGCGCTGTCCTGAGAGCTCTGTCCACAGGGGGCGCTGTCCCGAGAGCTCTGTCCACAGGGGGTGCTGTCCTGAGAATTCTATCCACAGGGGGCGCTGTCCTGAGGGTTCTATCCACAGGGAGCGCTGTCCTGAGAGTTCTGTCCACAGGGGGCGCTGTTGTAATTTTCTGTTCACTGTCATAGTTGGGCGTGTGTGGCGGTATGTCCCGAGAGTGAGGCATATGTGTCTGGATGTCATTGACTAGAATGGTGACCTGTAAAGTCCAGGGAGGATGTAGGTGTTGATGGGGCAGGACTTCTAGGGCACCACAGGGATTGTTTCTGCTCCCTCTCAAGGATGTGAACAGGTCCCAACATGTGCTGTTCCTGTCCACACCGACGCAAAGCAACACCCATTCCCACCCAACTCACCGCACAAGTCATGTGAACGGGCCCTCAGGTGTGCACACCAAGATAAACCCACTGACAGACACTCCTTATATGAAGACTCTTGAAAATAGGCACACGTGTAAACAAGCGCACATGCACACACAAACATATACATATCATCTTCATAGTTGGAGGCAAGCGGAGCTACTGTTGTGTGGCAAAACTTTTACTGCAGAGGCAGAACACAAAGATCTTCTCACCCCAGATAGGGAATCCCATGGCAGACCAAAGTACAGACACCACCAAAGTCCAACTTGGTGAACCAGAGACTTTAATTCCAGGTCACTTACAGGAGTGTGGGTGAGGGGTTGCTTGCAGGAGCAGAAACAACTCAATGACAGCTGCATCACTAAGGCCCAGCCCAGCAAAGTGACAGCCACAAAGCTGGGAACCTGGAGCTCACTGTACGGCCTGCAAGCAGCTCAACTGTTTGGACAGTGTCTTCCAGGCAGCTCTGCTTTCGCAGGGAGAGGCCTAGTCTCTCTCTCTCTCTCTCTCTCTCTCTCTCTCTCTCTCTCTCTCTCACACACACACACACACACACACACACACACACACAGACAGAGAGAGAGAGAGAGAAAAAAAAGAGAGAGAGACAGAGACATAGAGAGAGAGAGACAGACAGACACACAGACACACAGAGACAGAGAAACAAAGAGTCAGACAGAGACAGACAGACAGAGAGAGACAGAAGGGCAAGTGAGATGCCTTGGCAAGGCAGACACATCCCATACGAGCTTGGTGACCTGTATGTGTTGGGACCACAAGAACGAACAGTGGAAGGAGAGAACTGACTCCACAAATCTGTCCTGTGACTTCACACACATAGTGGGAGTGCCTCTATTCACATCCAATAATAAATACAATTTAAAAGAAAAAAAAAGAAAGAAGCTATGAAAATGCTTATTTCCAACAACGACAAAAAGTCATTAAAAAAAAAAAAAACAGACACAGTAACACCCAACACCATTCTGTAACAGCTGCTCCGGGGGAATCCTCTGAGGGCTCTGAAGCTCAGGGTAGGGACTTGGGAGGATGGGAAGGCGGGGCATGAGCATTTGGGGGGCTGCCTTGTGCTCTGGAGCGGCTGAAGCTCTTCCCAAGGGTTGAATGGAGCACAAGCTCCACTCAACGCCGTCACATCCTGCAGGGTGGACCCCACTGAGGACACACTGCGGAGGCTGCGGGAGGCTTTCGCTGCAGGACGGACTCGACCTGCGGAGTTCCGGACAGCACAGCTGCAGGGCCTGAGCCGCTTCTTTCAGGACAACAAGCAGCGGCTGCAGGATGCACTGGCCAAGGACGTGGGCAAGGTGCTGTGGGGGCATGAGTGTGGGATCTAGACAGGTGCAACGGTCCTTCCCAAGCTGGGCCAAATGCTCCGTGAGATGCTGTGCCCTCGACGAGGAGAGAATGTCCTGGTGTCTTTAACCCTTGCTCTATGCAACATTGACTTGAGAACATGCAGAGCGCCACTGAGAGGCCAGCTGGATGGTTGTTCTCAGGTCACAAATAGGGAAACTGAGGTACTCAGTTTTAAATTGTTTACCCAAAGTCTCAAAGCCAGGCAGTAGCAGTCCAGAATTAGTACCCATGGAACCATACACTGCATCTATAGGCTCAAGGTCACTACCTCACACCCTTCCCAAATGGTAGACCCCAGCCCAGCCTTGAACCAGACCTCCCCACCCCACAGTCAGCATTCGAGTCAGACATGAGTGAGATCATCCTGTGCCAGAATGAGGTGGACCTGGCCCTCAAGAACCTGCAGACCTGGATGAAGGACGAGTCTGTGTCCACCAACTTGGTGAGTACCGTTGTCTAGGGGATGGTGGTGGAGGTGGCAGCGTACAGGACAGCCTGTCCCAAACCCCTTCCTGCCCTTGAAACCAAAGTAAGCCAGTCTTTACATTGGGGACCCATCATCCAGGGAGGTGAGGACCCATGGAAGTGGGAGAGGCTGTTACTCATTTGGCACCTCACTACCACCCTGCATCCTAGCTCACGAAGCTGAGCTCAGCCTTCATCCGGAAGGAGCCCTTTGGCGTGGTGCTTATCATTGCACCCTGGAATTATCCATTGAACTTGATGATCATGCCCCTAGTGGGGGCCATAGCTGCAGGTGAGTGGGGTTTGGGAACTTCCTAGTCGGACAGTCCTTCCCAAAGAGGGCATCCAGAGTTTCCTGGAGGGTGCAGGCACAGGCCTCACTCCTCTACTTCCCCATTGGCTCCTTCAGGGAACTGTGTGGTGCTGAAGCCATCAGAGATAAGCAAGAACACAGAGAAGGTGCTGGCTGAGCTGCTGCCCCAGTATCTGGACCAGGTGGGTATGGCTCTGCCTGGCAGCACCCGGCATTCCCATATCCCTGTCCTGGCAAGTGGGGAGGTCCCCGTTGTCCTTGCGTCTGCCTCCTGAGCTGTCATCCTGTTTTGCAGAGTTGTTTTGCTGTGGTGCTGGGTGGGCCCGAGGAGACTGGGCAGCTGCTGAAACACAAGTTTGACTACATCTTCTTCACGGGTGAGGATGGCCCTGGCCAGGATCCCGGGCATGGGGACAGCAGAGAACACGGCGTAGAGAACAAATCAAGAGGTGGAGGTGTCCCTGAGGGTGGCTGTCCAGGACCTCTGAGAATCTTGGAGATTGGATCCTGGGTGGTCAGGATAGGTGGAACAGCCCAGAACTTGGGCTGAGAAAGGTGTCTGTGGAGAGGGGAGGCCAAAGTTCATGCCTAGACCAGTTGTCCAGGTGAAGATTGTGTCTCTTGACCCTGTTCTCAGGGAGCCCTCAAGTAGGCAAGATCATCATGGCCGCTGCTGCCAAACACCTGACGCCCATCACCCTGGAGCTGGGGGGTAAGAACCCCTGCTATGTGGACGATGACTGCGACCCCCAGACTGTGGCCAACCGCGTGGCCTGGTTTCGCTGCTTCAACGCTGGCCAGACCTGTGTGGCCCCCGATTACATCCTGTGTAGCCAGGAGATGCAGGAGCGGCTGGTACCTGCCCTGCAGAATGCCATCACACGTTTCTATGGGGACAACCCGCAGACCTCCCCCAGCCTGGGCAGAATCATCAACCAGAAACATTTCAAGCGGCTCCAGGGCTTGCTGGGCTGTGGCCGCGTGGTCATTGGTGGCCAGAGTGATGAGGGAGAACGCTACATTGGTGAGTGTCCTGTTTCCATCAGTGGCACACAGCCCCCCTGGGCTGAGTCCCTTCCATACTGAAGAGTACTGTGTTTGACCCTGAATGCAAGCTTCATCTTGGATCCTTAAGTTCACTGCTTCTGGTGCCTTAACTGTGAGCGAGCCTGTGACTCCTAAATTCCTGGTCCCTAGACACTCAAACCCTGAAGTTCTGAGAGGTCAGATCCTTACTTTCTCCAGTCTGGAGCCTTGTTTCTACCAAGCCCTGAGAAAATGAGAGGCTGTTCCTCCCTTTTTCCACAGCACCCACGGTGTTAGCGGACGTGCAGGAGTCGGAGCCCGTGATGCAGGAGGAGATCTTTGGGCCCATCCTGCCCCTGGTGACCGTGAGGAGCCTGGATGAGGCCATCAACTTCATTAACCAGCGGGAGAAGCCCCTGGCCTTGTATGCCTTCTCCAATAACAGCCAGGTAGGCCTGCCGGGACTGGGGCCACAGAAAAGGTGACAAGGGGACGATTGGCCACACCTCCTGCTGGGGGCTTAAGACAGGTGCTACAACTTTGAGCCACCAGCCTGGGTCCCTCAATTTCCGCACAAAGACACCTGAGAACAGGACACAAGCAGGGCCACGGGTCCCAGCAGCATGACTGGCCAGCTGTCTGTCCTGACTGAGGCAGCCTCCACTCGCAGTAAGGGCTGTGCCAGAGAGGGAGCCCCCTCCTCACTTCTGAGCTGTGCAAAGTTCCTATGATACTGAAAGACGATACCAACCAGGACCGCACGGGCAAAGCTTGGCTGGTTACAGTGAGGGTCCACCACACCCTCGCCAAGTCCTAACCTCCTCATGGTCACAGTGATGGGCATGGACCTCTGCCCTACCTATTCGTACAAAGTGTGCCCCCAATGGGTGCTTGGAATAAGGACTGCCAGCAGAGGGAGGACCTGGGAGAGGTGATGCAGAGGTGAGAGCTCTTTGTTCCCCCAGTGGGACTGTCAGGGCTCACCCCCTTCCTGTGTGCTTCTGCCTCCCTCAGGTGGTGAACCAGATGTTGGAACGTACCAGCAGTGGTGGCTTTGGGGGCAATGACGGTTTCCTCTACCTGACTCTACCTTCTATGCCCCTGGGGGGAGTTGGTGAGTTTCTGGCCCCCTCCATAATCCAGCCCCAACCCCAGAAAGTCTTTGCTATTCCACCTGAATGTGGGCCCTGGGCCTCTTACAGCCTTGGTTTTCCTATCTGAAAAATGGGTATTTGATTGTGCTGCCTTTCTGTGTTCCCTTGTAAGCTTTGGGCTTCTGACCCAGGTAGGTGGTGGTCACCTAGGCTGGCAAGCAGGGTTACACAGGTGCTGCCTTCACACTCTTGTTCTCTGTGTCCTTGCAGGCAACAGTGGGATGGGCAGGTATCACGGCAAGTTCTCCTTTGACACCTTCTCCCACCAGCGTGCCTGTCTGCTGCGCAGCCCTGGGGTGGAAAAGCTTAATGACCTCCGTTACCCGCCTTATGGTCCCTGGAACCAGCAGTTTATAAGCTGGGCCATGGGCTCCCAGAGCTGCACCCTCCTATGAACGCCACCCCCACTCCCTCCTGCTGCCCAAACCCTGCCCCACCTGAGCTTTCAGCCGCACTCACAACCCCAGTGGTTCCGAAAGGCAGGTGTCTGGCCCAGCCTGTGCACACCCCACTTCAGGAACTTTTCCTGAACAGACCTGCAGCCAGGCAAGACCTGCGGGTGGCTGGTCCAGTCCCTTCCCAGAGCATGGCCCCTCGCAGCCCCCTGACCCTCTCCTTAGGCAGATCTGCTGACAGAGAAACCCCCTCCCCAAGGTTGAGCAGATCTGGTGACTGAGGGGGACTTCCTTTGTCAGATCCTAGACAGGGTCCCAGAAGACAGAGCAGTGGCTCCCAGCTGCATCCACACCCGGAGGGTGGCTTTGTCCCACCTGAAGTGACATGATCTTGAACACTGAACAGATTTATTGGTGGAATCTGCCTGAAGGGTGTTCATTATTTACTTTTCTGTTGCTTTGATCCAATGACCTGATAGGCAAGTTCAAGGGGGAAGACTCTCATAGCTCACAGCTTCAGAAGGGTCTATCCCCATGACTCAGCAGACATCACAGAATACAGTTTAGTTCATAAAATGGCAAGCCAGGAAACATCATGAATAACAAGAAAAACATGGTTGATTAGTCAAGTCTGTTCTGGGCCCAGGCAGGGGTGTGTGCGAGTGTTGGCTACATCTCCACTCCTAGAAAGAGGTAATGAGAGGTAGAATATGAAATTGGGGACTTGGGGATAAAGAGATGGCTCAGTGATTAAGAGCACTGGTTGTTCTTCCAGAAGACTGAGTTCAGACCTCAGAACCCACATAGCAGGTCATAGTCATCTTTAACTCCACTTAAAAAAGATCCATCTTCTTCTTAGGGCCTCAGCAGGTACCAAGCACACATATGATGCCCAGACATACATAGGCAAAATGCTCATACATGGAAAATAAAATTTAAAAATGGAGGCTTGAAACCAAGTTTGGTGGTGCACGGCTTTAATCACAGCACTCAGGAGGCAGAGGCTGGCGGATATCTGTGATCTTTGTAATGCTGTCCTGGGCTACAGAAGGAGCTCCAGGACAGTCGGGTGTGTAGAGAGAGACCCTGTCTCAAAAAACAAACAAAAAACTGGAGACTTCATCTGAACATGGGAAACTGAAGTCTTAATCAAGACAGGGTTGACCTGAGTTCACCGAGGAAAGACCAGGGGTAGAGTCTAGAGACAGAGGGCTTAGTTGAGGATTGTGGAGCTGGAGTCTGAGTAGACAGAATGCATGACCTTGGAGTTGGTTCCTTGTTCTTCCCCAATTCCCCCTACACCCAGGCACAGAGCCACTCCAATTTCCAGCCTCGGCTTGCTGGTTCCTTAGAGTCACAGGAAATCTGAGCTAATGGCCTGAGGCTGAGAAATTAAAAGAAGTGTGGTCTTAGAAAGTCTGGGTGGTGGCATCTCCAGAATGGTACATGGGGGACACAGCAGAGGCCCTTAACAGGCTTATGGGTGGATGAAGGAGAGAATGAAAGAATGGATGAGAAGAGGAACAGATGGTGTGTGGATGACGGAGGGATGCCAAGACTGATGGGTTCTTGAGTAGGTGGGCAGGTGAGTGGCAGGCTTGGGAGCTGCCCTGGGGCTCCAGTGGGTCATAGTGAAATCTAGCCACAGGTTCTGGGTCCACAGTGGTCTCAACTGCCCACTGTCTCAAACTGAGAGTGTCCATAGGAAAACCACTACAGGTCCGAACCCAGGACATCAGGTTAGCAAGAAGCCAGCAGCACAGCGCTGGAGGGGCAGCCGAAGGGACTGGTCCCAGGGAAAGTGGCAGGGTAGCAGAGAGAGCAGCAGGACCCCAGGCCTGGAGCATAAATGGCTTTGGGAGGTCAGGTCTGGAAGGAAGGACTAAGGTAAGGGCTATATCTGTGTGTGGCCATAGCAAGGGCCTCCAGGGGCTGGAGAGATGGCTCAGAGGTTAAGCACACTGGCTGCTCTTCCAAAGGTCCAGAGTTCAATTCCCAGCAACTACATGGTGGCTCACAACCATCTGTAATGAAATCTGCTGCCCTCTTCTGACCTGCAGACATCCATGCAGACTGAATGCTGTATACATAATAAATAAATAAATCTAAAAAGAAAAAAAAAAAGAAAATGTTGCCGGGCGGTGGTGGCGCACGCCTTTAATCCCAGCACTCGGGAGGCAGAGGCAGGCAGATCTCTGTGAGTTCGAGGCTAGCCTGGTCTACAGGAGCTAGTTCCAGGACAGGAACCAAAAGCTTCGGAGAAACCCTGTCTCGAAAAATCAAAAAAAAAAAAAAAAAAAAAAAAGAAAGAAAAAGAAAATGTCCCCATCAACTTGGCCTGCAGGCAAGTCTGTGAGTCATTTTCTTAATCAATGTGTGATGGTGGGGAGGGCCCAGCTCATTGTGGGTGGAGCCATTCCTAGGCAGGTGGTCCAGGGGTGTGAAAGGAAGAGCAGGCTGAGCAAGTCACCTGGAGCAAGCCAGGAAGCAGCGGTTCCTCATGGCCTCTGTTTCAGTTCCTGTTTTCAGGTTCCAGCCGCGACTTCCTGTCCTGACTCCCTTAAATGATGGATTTGTGCAGACCTGTACACCCTTTTCCGCAGCAGCCCTCTGTTCATGGAGTCTTTAATCACAGCCACAGAAGCAGGGCACTGTCCCTTGAGCTGTGGCACTAGCACCGTGCCGGGGCCAGAGGACAGAGCTGTTTCCCGGGGGCTGTGTCCATGGACCTCAGAGGGTTCTCAATGCCCCCCGAGGAATACAAAGAGACTTCTCATGTCCTTCTGTCCCGCATGGTCACCAGAGTCCTGCCTTCTATTCCCTGTTCTCTGGAAAGCAGACTTTAGGGGGCAGAAGCCAGCTCTGGCTGGTTGCCATGTCCCCAGTACCCAGTCAGAGCTGGCCCTGCCTGGTACTTAACTAGAATTAATAAGGCAGGTGGAGGAGGGCTGAGGGACAGGAAACAAAGGCACCCCTCCGCTGCCTCCTTCCTCTCCCTCCCCCTAACTTGTCTTTGAGAAGGGGCCAAGAGTCCCCACCTGGGCATCCCCAGGTCCTGGCCTTGAGAAATAGTGATGGTGGCCTGGCACAAGGTTGCTGGTCAGTGCCCACATGACTGCCCTTCCAGCTTTCCACTTCGGCGAGCTGAAAATTAAACCTGACTCAATGAACCTTTTACCCTAGCTGGGCCTTCTCCTTTCTCAGCTGCGGTGCTGCCTACACTCCCTTCCCCACATTCCCAGGCCCTCTCTGTCCACTTCTTCCCCTCCTTCTCCCAGTGGAGACCTTGTGGTCTCCGGCTTGGACCCTGGCAAGGCCTTCCAGGTCCTTTCCTGGCTCATTCCCCAAGACTGGCATCCAGAGCCCTTTCAAAGAAAGACAAAGCCATCTGTCATCCCCTTGTCATTAGGGGAAAACACCAGGCCAATGCCGCAAGCCCTGCAAGACAACAGCTTCCTTCTTGGAGTGGCCTGAGCACTCCCGGAAGATTCAGTCCCAGAAGGAAAATGGTGGAGCGGCTGCTGACAAACGCTGTGTCTCAGATGTCACCTTGGGAGTCACTGGCAGGGAGATGGGAGGTCATTGAGAAGGGCTAACAGGATACAGCAATCTGGAGAAGCTGGTAGGGGGTGGCCAGTGTCACTCTGAGGACACAGGGAACAAAGCTGAGGGACCCTGACCAAGATATGACAGGCAGGCCAGAGGAGCTGAGCTGTGACAAAGGAACCATAGCCTGGTCAGAAGAGTGGAGGGTCAGGCAGGGCCTGCAAAGTCACTGGGTCCCTGATCCTCAGGCATGGATCCCAGGCCACAAGGCCCTCTTGGATCAAGATTTACAACTTGGGAAGAGGGGGGAGCTTAGTTTTGATACATTCTTGGGCCTCAGTTTCCCTAACTAAAGAGATGTGGATCCCCTGCTGGCCATCGCTCTAGTGCTTGTTCATCTGGGGGTGCTCTTGCCCATGCCAGTTTTCCAGGCTTGCACTTGCTTTGCCCCCACTCCCCACAGCTGCCTCAGGCTCAGAGCTGCCTCACCCTCATTTCCCAAGCAGGATGCCAGACCCAGGGTGGGCACCGCCTCCCTCCAGGCCGCACAGCTTATCAGAGCCCCCCTCTTTGCTGGGGTTTGGGGTAACTCATCAGACCTGCCCCTCATTCTGTTCACAGCTGTGTCTGGTGACGGGGGAGGGGGGGAGAAAGAGAGAGAGACCCACAGAAACAGAGAGGCTAAGGACATGAGGCATTCATTCTTCACTGCTGCCCTCCCCATAGCTGGGAGCCCAGGGCCTCCTGGCAGGAAGGACCCTGGACACTGCCACGCCCCCCCCCCAACAGCCAAATTGCCTAACAATTCCGACTTCAGAGTGCCTGCAGCAGTCAGCAGCACCCATCAGCTGGGTGGCCTTCAGACTGAACACCAAGGCTTTGGGCTGAAGCACAGTGGGGACTGAGAAGGAGGCTCATCCCCTCCAACCACTTCCCCTCCCCTCCCCACAGGGGAAGGACTTGGGGAACAGCCTAGGGACTGGTGGCAGAAGGGTCAGTGACCCTCTGCAGAGGCCTTCTGGAGGTTTCTGCCGTCCCTCAGCTGAGGCCTCAGACTCCAGAAAGGGTGCTCAGAACCACAGTTCACCGACTCAGGCTCCCCGCCAAAGGACAGAGGCCCTGATGAGAACAAAGGTGAACAGGGTGGGAAGGGTCAGAGGGCAGGCTCAGGCCACCTGAGTCAGCTTTGAGGAAAGTTAGCCTGTGCCTAGTGAAGCCCAGCCACGTCCCAGCAGGTAAGAGGATGGTCAAAGGCTTCCTGCCAGTTCAGAGGAGGGTGCAGGAGGCCTGGAGCCCAGCTGCTTGCTGCAGCTAATGGCGTGACAGTAGCCACCAAGAAGCCCCAAACTATCTGGTCATCTTGGACCTACAGCAGGAGCAGTCTTAGAGGGAAGGCACCCTGGGACACAGGTGCCCCCGCACGGACAGTGACAGAGGTAATCAGCTGCACACAGCATGGTTCAAGGCCTCGTGGGAGGGACAGCCCTGTGTCAGGGGACAAGGACTTCTCCTTTGCCCTTCCCCTGAACCCCACAGAGACAGCAGGGAGTGGAAAGGGCCCAGACCCTGCCTTCCAGGTCCAACTGTCCCCAGTGCTCAGTGCATCCGTAGCTACTCTGTCTAAGCCTCAGTTTCCACATCTGTAAACTGGGTCTAAGGGTTTGTTCCCAGAGCAGAGCAAACAAATCCATTTTGGTCACAGCGCCCTTGAAGACCACAAAGACTAGGCAAGACAATTTGCAATTTTGTTTGAAGCATCAATGAGCTGTAAGATTTGAGCCCCATGGCTCACAGCCTTAAGGAAGTGGGGAGAGCTGCAAGGACAGAGGGAAGGCAGAGGGAAGGGGACTTCTTTTCTGGTGGTCCTCAAGGTACAGGGCTGATGGGGCTACAAACGAGTCACAGCCCACTGCTGTCTGCCTTAAGTAGCGACAAGGAAAGCACCTTTCTGGGTGGATCTGGGCTGGACTCCAGGCAGGCCTGTCCACCCACCAGGGACCAGGCCCTGACTACCTTGCCAGTCAGTAAAGCCAAATCCTCTCTGAGGACTGGGAATCCTCCAGGTCAGGAATCTCAACGGTTAATTTTCCAAGGGTTAAGGGCAGCTTCCAGCAGGAGTCCTCAGAGGCCCTGGCACACAGAACTGTCCCTGTTCCCGGAGGAGGAGCAGAGGGCAAGGACAGGAACTGGCCCTGGGGGATCTGGACCCAGTAGGCTGTGGAAGGTGAGGGCAGGTGGAGCTTATAGGAGCTGGGGGTGGGGCCCTAAGAACTTTGGCTGCCTGGCTCTCAGCCCAGCCACCCGCCCCCAGTTCTCCAATAACTGGGCACAAATGCTTCCTGCCTGGGGCCTCCAGGCCGGCAAATACAGCGGGTAGGAGTGGACACATCAGGCCTGTGCCTAGTGAAGCCCAGCCACGTCCCAGCAGGTAAGAGGATGGTCAGAGGCTTCCTGCCAGTTCAGAGGAGGGTGCAGGAGGCCTGGAGCCCAGCTGCTTGCTGCAGCTAATGGCGTGGCAGTCTTCTCTCCCTGGAAAATTTGGCATTGGTTTTACCATCTATAAAATGAGTGTAGTTCTATGGTGAAGATTGTGTGGGTGGGACCAGTCCATCCTTCCGACTGTCTGACTCCCTCTTCTCAGCTTATGTGTGTTAGACCTGAGAAAAAGCCATTCCCACGGCTGCCTGATTAATGCAAGCTGCATTTAGAGCTGCACAACGGACTGGCCAGACAACAGCCTCCCCCTAAGTCAGGATTTCAGAGACCAGCCCCTCACTGGCTTTTGAGAGGAAGGGTTAGGTTGACAGAAAGAGCTGTTGAGATAATTGGCTGTTAGCATCTGGGCAGAAGAATGGGGGCTCAGTGCTCAAGGCTGTCTGGGGGTAAATGAGTACGAGAACGCATACATGGAAAGGGGGGTCACCACAGTTGTTCGGGAGTCCAACAAGGCAAGGGGCTGGGCATATATTATGGGGTTACCAGTTCAGCATAGGTTGAAAAACATGGTTTGCAGGACACGTTTGCTTTAGGGAAAAAGAAAATTATTCTTGTAAGGTGTAAGGTATGGAGACTTTCTTTTCTTTTCTTTCTTTCTTTTTCTTTTTTGTTTTGGTTTGGTTTTTGGAGATAGGGTTTCTCTGTGTAGCTTTGAAGCCTGACCTGGAACTGGCTTTGTAGACCAAGCTGGCCTTGAACTCACAGAGCTCCTCCAGCCTCTGCCTCCTGAGTGTTGAGGTTAAAGGCATGCACAGCCACCTCCTGGCAAGGTATGGAGACTTAGTAACAATGTAACAATGGCAATGTGGCTTCTCAGGAACAACATGGTCCTGTCTTGGTTGCACAGGTGAAGGGACCTTCCTTCTAAAGACATCAAGGAAAATTGTCTCCTCTGAGAGAAAAGTGGAGAGCGCAACACACCCTCCAAGAAAGTTCCAGAAGCAGGACTGAGGTTCCAAGTGGAACAAAAATTTAGCTGAAAGTGTCCTAGAGCTTGGCTTCTGGGTACAGGTGGGAGACAGCCGACACTACCACCCAGCTACCTCTTCACGAGCAGCCCTCTGCCTCAGACTTCTCAGGACCTGGGAGCTCTGTGTCTGGTGAACTCCTGCCCTACACCAGGATGTGCTCCCTGCCTGTCTCCCGGCAGCCCCTGCGCCGAGTGGCTGTGACTGGGGGCACCCACGGGAATGAGATGTGTGGTGTCTACCTGGTCAAGCACTGGCTGCAGGCTCCAGGGGAGCTGCAGAGACCCAGCTTCTCAGCCATGCCAGTTCTGGCCAACCCAGCAGCCACAGCTGCCTGTCGCCGTTACCTGGGCTGTGATCTCAACCGCGCTTGCACCCTCACCTTCCTCAAGTGAGTAGACTTGGCCAAGGTGGCTGGTCCACAGCCGGGTACTAGCATCCTGCACACCGCCTCTGTGGCTTGCATCCCTGCCTCTGTGGCTCACATCCCCGCACCCCCGCCTCTGTGGCTCGCACCCCCGCCTCTGTGGCTCGCATCCCCGCACCCCCGCCTCTGTGGCTCGCACCCCCACCTCTGTGGCTCACATCCCCGCATCCCTGCACCCCCCGCCTCTGTGACTAGCAAGCTACCCCTGCCTTTGCTCATTGACCCTCTGGTTTAGAGAGATTCAGATCAACGTTACCTCTTCCAGTAAGTCTGTCCTGACAGCAACCTGGATCAGCCACTGATCCTTAGGCCAGACTCTTACCAGTTGGAGTGAGATTCACATGGGGAATAGGAGGTGTGAGCCTCAGGTTCCAGGAGACACAGAGGAAGTGTGTGTGTGTGTGTGTGTGTGTGTGTGTGTGTGTGTGTGTACCACTTGCTACATGAAGCATCCAACCTGGCCAAGAGCAGTCTGGGAAAGTTTCTTGTAGGAGGTGGCATCTCAGTCAAGCCCTCAAAGGTGAGAAGCTAGCCAAGAGGAGGCTGAGATGATGGGGACTGGTGTGCCCGACTTTCCCCACAGTTCCACAGCCACTCCTAATGACCCATATGAGGTGACAAGAGCCCGAGAGCTGAACCAGCTACTGGGTCCCAAGGGCACAGACCAGGCTTTCGACTTTATCCTGGACCTGCACAACACCACGGCCAACACTGGGGTCTGCCTCATCTCTGAAGCCTCCCACAGCTCCTTCAACCTGCACCTGTGCCGCTACCTACAGGTGGTCCCTAGAGGGCAGGGAGAGGGAGGGCAGGGAGCAGGGCCAAGGGACCAGAGTCACCTCTGCTTGTCCTCTGTTCCCAGAGGCCTGCCACCTGCAGGTACTCCAGAGTCTCTGGAACCTTCCAACCAAGGGAGAGAGGTGGGACAGGGCAAATGACACTGTGCTTCCTGTACACTGCTCTTCCCAGTCTCAGTGCCTCAGTTTCCCCTCTCAAGAAGGCCTGGATCCTGATTGGCCCCCCTCACTCTACAGCTGCAGAACCCGGGGCTGCCCTGCCGCCTCTTGCAGTATGAGCCACCCGGAGCAGAGACCTACAGCGTGGAATCTGTGTCCAAGAATGGAATCGGTGAGCAGGTGGGGTAGGAGAAATAGGCAGGGAGAAGAGGGCCGAAGGGTGGATGGAGTCAGGGCCTGGAGAGGCTGAGTTGGAAGGGGTAGGACAGACGCTTGGAGGGCAGAATCAGCACCCAGAGGGGCGGGACCTCCTGTAGGTGTCTGGGCCTGGGGCACCTGCCTGACTTTTCCCTTCCTGGTCCCCAGGTCTAGAGCTGGGCCCCCAGCCTCAGGGCGTGCTGCTGGCCGACCTGTTCTCACAGATGAGAACTCTGGTGGCCTCCACTCTGGACTTCATTGAACTCTTCAACCAAGGTAAGACCCCACAGTAGCTTTTAGGGAAACTGAGGTGGGGGAGAAAATGGAGAAATAGGCAGTCACACTCAACCTCTCCACAGGCAAGGCCTTTCCGGCCTTTGAGATAGACATCTACAGGATCTTGGGTAGAGTGGACTTCCCACGCACAGCGGACGGCGACCTGGCTGGCACTGTGCACCCTCAGCTCCAGGTCAGTCCTGCGGGAAACGAGGGGTGGGGGTGGTACCCTGAATGTCCGATGGAGCCCCCAGTACCTTAGAATCCTAGTGGACCAGAGGCTGATCCCGTCCAAGCCTGCAGCTGGAGCCCCGCCTCGTACCTGGCATTTGGAGCAGCACAAATCTTCACACTTGGAGTGGAGGGAGGCCCCTGGGTGGCTGTTTAACTGAAGAGCAGTGGGGATCAGACATTGTCACCTGATTGGAAGTGCAAACGTTCTTTTTTCATGGATATGCAAGCAACCCCGTGTCTGTGAGCTGACTCTCCACACGGGGTCGTTGTTGAACAGGGTCTTGTGCAGCCCTGTGGCCTTTCCTGCAGCAGTCTTAGTATTTTCTAGAGTATCTGACGCCTGGCAGAGCATTGTACGCCAGGTCTGCCCATAAGCTTTGCTAATGATATGTAATAACAGTTACTTTAAAAAATATAAGCTTGTTCTATACTTTGTCCAAGAGGAGACTGTAGGCAGAAGCAGTTCTGGTGAGAGGGTATTTCCTGATGATGTCATTGCTGTCCTAATTTGCATAGTATATTCCATGATGTTCTTGCGCCTGATGACATATTTCTCAGAACTAACCGTTTTTAGACAGTGTTCCTTGGCAAGGCTGGAGTTACTCCTCCTGGGGGAAGGGAGGATGGGGGGCAGAGATCATGGCCCCAGCTACCTTGGCCTTGGCTCTTCTCCCAGGACCATGACTTTGAGCCACTGAGGCCCGGTGAACCCATCTTCAAGCTGTTCAGTGGTGAGGACGTGCTATACGAGGGGAACTCCACTGTGTACCCCGTGTTCATTAATGAGGCTGCCTACTACGAGAAACACGTGGCTTTCATGAAATCTGAGAGGATCCGGGTCTCTGTGCCTGCCCTGCCCGAACTGACCTCCAGCTCCACCCTGGCTCCCTAACCCAAGTCATACCTGCCTGGTCTCAGTTTCCATATCTGAGGATAAGGAACATTTCCAAGCCCAGGGTCCTCTGTCCTACTCTGGGCACCATGCCCCTTGTCAGACAACCAATCCCATGATATAAAATAAAATGTAAAATAAAATAAAAGAACCATGGTTCTTGTTCTCTGCCCAGCATGGCCTCTCTTTGGGGAGGTGGGTGGAGGAGCAAAAGAATGCCCACAGGACCATGCAAGGACCTGGACATGTGGGCACAGCACATTGAAGGGGAAACTGAGGGAAGGGCCAGTAAGTGTAGCCTTGGACCTGGGACCAGTGACAACCATCTCTGTGCCCACATCTGGCCACACATCCTGGAAATAGGGAGAGATCATATATGTGGAGACCAATCTGGGGAGGGACTTTCAAGAGCCCAGGAGGGATCCCCAGCCCCCTACAGACATGTACCCGTGTGTATGTGTGTATGTATTACCAAGGGTCCTGGGCCCACAAGTGTTCTTTTGGGGTGATCTGTATGTAGCTAGGCACATGGCCTAGATGCAAATTTCCAGGTGACTCAAGGGATTCAGGATGCCTAAGAGGTGTCACCAGGACAACTGTCCAGCTGCAGGGCACTGGGGGGGCGGGGGAGATGGCTTGGGTCGTGCAGAAGGAAGCCAAAGTTCAGTTACCACCATCTTCTCTACCTCCCCCCACCCAGTAGCATCCGGGGAGTGAGCACAACCTGGAATCTGAGGACCAGGTCTCTGTGTCTGCCCTGCTGGATTGACCTCCACCTCCACCAGCACAAGGTCCTGGTGGTAACCCCTGGTCCTTACCCAGGTTCCCTCTGGGGCAGGCAAAAAGGTCAGGATGCTGGGGCCCAGAGCTCTGTCCTTCTGCAGCCTCACGTGCTGGACCTCTGCAGTCTGCCTGGCCCATCCATCTCCCTGCGGCCATGGCTGCCATGCCGCCTCCTGGTATTGAGCTGAGAGATGAGAAGGTGTGAAGGATACGGGTGCGCCAGGGACCAGCTGGCAGACAAGATGGATGAGAGGGCAGTGGGGGCCAGCAGGAGCCTGGGGCAGGCAGGCAGGCCAGTTAGGGAGGGGTGCCTGTGTTCATGTGCCGGGCTTTGTCCCCTGTGTGGACGGAGAGACGGTACGCACACACACAAAAGCTTCATCCACTGTCCTGCCGTGAGTGGGCCTGAGTTCATGTGTGTGCATGTAGGCTGTGAGTTTGTGAGTTAGCGTGTCTGTGCTATGTGTGTGTTTCCCATTACAAGTATCAAAGACAAGCACGAGAGTGCGTGCGCACACACACACACACACACACACACACACACACACACAACCCAACAGACTCCCAGGCTGGCCCGCTTCTGGGAACCTGGGCTGAGGAGGATCTGCAGAGATTGGGACAGATCTCTCAAACCTCTCCTTTGTCTCCTACTTCCCACCCACCACAGTGAATCCTGAGGCAGGAGGCCTGGGGCGCACTTCACTGGAGGCCCCTGGGAGATTCTGGTGCCCTTTGACTTGAAGACAGCACCCCTTTCTTGCTTTCTTGCCTGGGCAAAAGCTCCAGAGCCAATGTCCTCGTCCTCACACAGTGGAGTATGAATCAGTGCAGGGTGGGACCCTCACCGCACCCCTCCACGTGTATATGGGGGGGACCCTCACCGCACCCCTCTCCACGTGTGTATGGGGGGTGGGACCTTCACCGCACCCCTCTCCATGTGTGTATGGGCAGGGTGGGATCCTCATCGCACCCCTCCACGTGTGTATGGGCAGGGTGGGATCCTCACCGCACCCCTCTCCATGTGTGTATGGAGGGGGGAGGTGCCCATCCAGCTTCAGGCTGGAATCTGAGGTTGAGAGACATTGAGTGGCAGCAGGAGGCAGGGCTAGCTAATCTGAGTGCACCACACTCAGAGAAAAGCACTCCTCCAGCCATGGGTTTGGGTCCTGCCTGTTTGTCCCCAGCAGCACCAGACTCTAAAGAGGCTTGGCTATTCCTTCCCAGGGTGGGCTGAGGGGATCTGGCCAGGTGAATTTCTGTGGGTCATTTAGCACAGGCCACTAGTCAAAGGGTGCCCTCAGCTAAGGAAGTGAGGGCTTCCAAGCCCCATCCCTGGGTGGTGACTAGGTTTCCCTCAGGACAGATGGGGAAGCTTGGAGGAGGTGCCTGGCAAGGCTGGAGAGGGACCAGTGGTTAGAGTGGATGCACAGACTGCCTCAGTTTACCCTAATGGAGATGACAGATGATCATCAGGTGAGGGTGTGACCCCTGCTATGCTGTTTTCAGCTAAGGCCAGAACATCCCAGGCAGAGCTGATTATTCACTGAAGTCAGGGATATCTGACTACCCAGTCTGGAGCTCTTCCTGCCTCTCTTGTGTTTCCTGCTCGTCCCTTATCCCATTCAATACTAGCAGGCTGGGGTCTTCGGCTGTGAGGGAGGGCACCACTTCTGCACTTAGCTCTCATCTGCCACCTCTCCTGTTGCCTCCCCTTTCAGCTCTTCCATCTAGCCGGATCCTGGCCCCTGTGGACACCAGGCTGTCCTCAAGATGGCACTCCACCCCCACCTGCACTGGGACCATTGATCAGGAATAGCTGGGGGGCTCTCAGCTGGAGAAGAGAGAGAGGACCAGGAGAGGAGAGGGGGAGCTTTGCAACGTCACAGCCTCCCCACCTGCCCCCTTCCACATGTGCCTGCCCCTGGAGCTAAACCCAGCCAGTGGTCCAGCTCCAGACACTACAGTCAGAGGTGGTTTGGAGACCCCCCCACCCTGGACATCCTAGAGCCAGACTTTATGAACATCCTGACCAAGTGCCATCTCAGGAGGAAAAGTCTTGGCCAGGGACGTGGACAGAGGACAATTGAAGAGGGAAGGGCAGTGCTGAGAACTGAGGACTTGTGCACGCTCGAGAGTGAGTTCTGTTGCTGAGCATATAGGACAACCCAGCATTGCTGGCTACTCCTCCTGGGCGAGGCTGTAGCCCCGCCTGAGCTGAGATCCTGCTGTCTGCATGGCAGGTAGGTATGGTTCAGGCAGTAGAGGTGGCCTCATAAGTAGATGGGGTTCAGGGGCTTGGACAACTGGATGGGAGGCTCCCTAAGCTACAACCTCTGATCCTGCCGATCTTCCCCCAAAAGCCTCCATTCCCTGCTGCCATCCCAGGATCTTATGACCCCTTCATGGGTCAAGGGCAGTCAGGGTTGCTGCAAAGCCCCATCCAGATGTGCTCTGTAAACAGTGGCACTGCCCACCTGGTGTGTTAGACACCTCCAGCCTTCTGTCTTTCTCATTGTTTATAATTGTTGAACGAGCTGTGATTTCCTGCACGGTAGGGTGGGGCAGCCGTGGGACTTGTGCGAGTTCAAGGACAACTTTTGTGGTTCTCTTTCCAGCCTGGTGGGTTCTAGAAATGAAGCTCAGGTTGTCTGGCTTTCATGGCAACCATTTTACCTGCTGAGCCAGCTCACTAGCCCTCCCCTTCTCTTCATCTCTATCCATCCAGCAGCCCCCTTTCTCAGGCTGACCTGGTGGTGCTGCTGGGAATGGAGACCTGGCCACCAAGGAGTCTGTGGACCCTCCTGTCCTCAGTCCCTTACTGGAATGTTGTTCTTCACCGATTTCTGTTTCCGCATTGAGCAGGGGTATCATGTAGCTGAGGCTGACCTTAAATTCAGTATGTAGCTTAGGGTAACTTCAGCTTCCAGGCACTGGGTGTACAGGTGTGCACCACCACACCTGGCTCAAAATAACCTTCTTTAAAATCCAGAGCTGGGCATTGAAAACAAGTACATGCTAGGCAAGGGCTCAACTGCCGAGGTATATCCCCAACAAAACCTTTAAACTACAGCAAGGGTATAGCATGTAAAACTTAACCGTGTTAACCATGGTTAAGCTTACAGCGTCGGGCATTAGGATACCCTTGGCTGTGTGCCCCTCAGTCTGCTTTCAGTGTCTTAGAAAGATGAAACTCTCACCCCCACGGAACACTCCTTCTCCTGGGCCCTGGCATCCCCACTGAACTCTCTGTGTTTCTGTAACTTTTTACCTTCTGTAAACAGAATTTATACAGTTTGATCCAGTGCTTCTGGTTTATCTCACTGAGAGAATGTTCACACACAGTCTCAGAAAGTCCTTTCCTTAGAGGGCTAATTACTATAATTATTATTGTAATCGTGAGCTACATTTTGTTTATCTGCTCATCTGTCAGTGGACACTCGATTGCTTCTGCCTTTTGGCTCTTGTAAGCAGTGCCGTCCCCAGGCGGGTGTGCTGACATCTTTATGTAGGTTCCTTTGGTGATTCCATGTTTAGTTTTGTAAGAAGCTTTTGATTTCCTCAAAGGCTACACCATTTTAAAATCCCACCCACCTTAGGATTCCAGTTTCTCCATAATTCCACCCACACTGGTTAAGTTCTGCCTTCTTTTCTTGTCCTAGCAGCCATCTTGACGGCTGGACCTGGATCTCACTGAGAACAGTGCTACTGATTTCTTTATTTGTGGTTTTTGAATCGGAGTCCTATTTTATTTGCTTGTTATTTTTATTTCTTCTTCCCTTTTCTTTTCTTTGTTTGTTTTGTTTCGAGACAGGGTTTCATATAGCCCAGGCTGGCCTCAAACTCATTACATAACTAAGATGAGCCTTGAACTTCCGATCCTCCTGCCTCTACCTTCAAGTCCTAGCATTACAGGCATGTACGACCATGTTGCAGTGTTTTTAACATGGTGCTGGGGATCAAACCTAGCATTCTGTGGACACCAGAAAAGCAATCTACCAACTGAGCTGTGTTCCCGGTCTAGTGTCAGTATTTTATGTTAATATTTATTTTGTAAGTGTGCCTGCTAGTTGTCAACTTCACACAAACTGGGGTCATTTTGGTAGAGGGAATTCACCCGAGGAATTGCTTGCATCAAACTGGCCTGTGGGCTTGTCTATAGGGCAAAGATTAATGTGGAGGATGCAGCCCACTGGCGTAGTGCCTCCTCAGGCAGGCGGTTAAACAAGCTGAGCCAGAGGGTGGTGGCGCACACCTTCAGTCCCAGCAGAGAGGCAGGTGAATCTCTGAGCTCAAGGTCAGCCTGGTGTACAGAGCAAGTTCTCAGACAGCCAGGGGTACACAGAGACAAATAACAACAAACAAACAAACAAACAAAGTTGAACATGCCACAAGGAGAAAGCCAGTGAGCAATTCTTCCATGGCTTCAGTTCCTACCGCCAAGCTCCTGCTTGAGTTCCTGCCCTGGTTTCCCTCAGTGATGGAATGAGAGCTCTAAACCACATAAACCCTTCCTCCCTGTCTATGACGTCAACAGACAGCGAACTAGCAGTGAGCACTAGTGGAAGTCGGAGGAGAAGCAAGTCAGTTTCCTCTTTACCACACGAGTCCTGGGAACTGAACTCGGCTGCTCGGGCGTGTTAGCTCCTTCACTCGCAGCCACCTCACCACCCACGTGTATTGTTTTCAGTCCTGATGCCGTGAGCTGTATGATTAGACACGGCTGACTTGGTAAAGTTTGCCTTAGGTATACCCTAGCTACAATTTAAAAGGTTTCGCCAGGGCATAGGAAAGTCTAAGGAAGATAGTTTAGGTAATTTGGATGAACTGGATCCGCCTTCAGCCCCCTTCCCGTAAACAGCACTGGGGGGTGGGGGCTCCACGGAGCTTTGTGCTCCTGTGGCACACTTGCTCCCTTTCCCGCCGTCTGTGCGCATGTCACCTATGAAGAGCCTCCACTGTCACTCCGCTCCCCACACCAATGTGTGTGTCTGCCCTAGGAGACATGGAAACTGGGGATCCAGAGGTCGGGCAACCTGTCCAAGGCCATGTAGCTGTCGTCTCTGCCCTCTAGGATCTCGCTGAGGGAAAGGCTTTAAATTAGAAACAGTGACTGTAATCCTGGGACTTGAAAGGCTGAGGCAGGAGGATTCCCTCTAGCTTATGGCTAGCCTTGGCTACCGAATACTACCATGCTTCAACAGTCCCATCCAGAGAGTCATGGTGACACAGGCTCGTAACCCCCGGCCCTGGGAAGTGGAGGCAAGAGGTTCCAAAGTTCAAGGACATCTTTGGAGTTTGACACCAGCCTGGGCTAAAGTCTGGGGGTGGGGGGGGGGCAAACAAACAAACAAAGTTCACTGTAACTGAACGCTTATGGGGTGATGCTTTCTGACAGCACTGGGAACAGAAGCCTGGCAGGCAGGAGACCTCCCAGAGGAAGAGGCAGTGGCCACTCCCTGAAGGATGAGGCTGGATGGACAGTGAGCTGCCAAGGGCAGGACTCACAGATTCATCCTCTCTCCACAGTCTTCCTGTCTGCTGGCCTCGGGGTACTTGCTCCCCCAGAGCCCCGGCTGGGGATGTCATACCCATCAGGTTCGGAAGCCCAAGCCATGGTAGAGGCCACGGGGCAGGGCCCCAAGAACCCACGAGTGTCCAGTGTGATGGTCCAGCTGGAGATGAAGCCCCTGTGGGAAGAATTCAACCAGCTGGGCACCGAAATGATTGTCACCAAAGCTGGACGGTATGGGCGTGGCCAGTGGGGGCTGGGCAGGGGGTGGGGCCACAGCGAGGCTGAGCACCTCCCTCCCGCAGGAGGATGTTCCCTACCTTCCAGGTGAAGATCTTGGGCATGGACACCTTGGCTGACTATGCCCTGCTCATGGACTTCATCCCTCTGGATGACAAAAGATACAGGTCTGGGCCCCTGGGGACTGGGTGATGTGGAGCCCTTCTGAGTTCCTGCCAGGGAAACCTAGCCCAGAGCAACAGCCTTTAGGCAGAAGGAAGCCTACCACAGAGGGAGTGGGCTAGTCTAGCACAGAGGGCGTGGGCTAGCCTGAGGCAGCCACAGGAATGCACACACATACAGAATTAATTAAAAATGGAGGATACTCACCAGGCAGACTGAGCATGCGGGGTCAGGATCATCCTCTTCACCATTGTCTTGGTCAGACTTGGCACCGACTAGGATAGGGACAGCCCCTGACCTCTCAATCTGCTCCCCCAGGTATGCCTTCCACAGCTCTGCCTGGCTGGTGGCAGGCAAGGCCGATCCTGCCACACCTGGCAGAGTGCACTTCCACCCTGACTCACCAGCCAAGGGCGCCCAGTGGATGCGTCAGATCGTGTCCTTTGACAAACTCAAGCTGACCAACAACCTGATGGACGACAACGGCCATGTGAGGCGCAAGCCACTAAGCCATCTGGGGGGGGGGGGACTGTGGCAGCTGTGGCAGGGTGGCACTCGGATTGGGGGGAGCCTGGAGCTAGCAGGGCTGATGTGGTATTTGAACGAGTATCTGAAGGAAAAGAGGGAGGAAGGGAAGGTGCGAAAGGAAGCTGTTTGAAGCCTAGGAGACAGCCTGAGCACAGGTCCTGAGGCCAGACAATATGGAGTGAGTCAGGAGACTCCCAGTGGGGCTGAAGTGAAAAGACGCTAAGGGAAGTGGCTGTCACACGGGGCCAAGTGCCGAGTGAGAACCCTGGCTTCTCCTCTCTGTGGATGGGAGCTATAGAGGATTTAAAGAGAGTTCATGTGTCTTGCCCAGCTTCTGTGTGGAGATGGGGCAGGACAGGATGGGGAGGCAGGGAGGCCAGTCAGCATGCAGCTGAAAGATGAGCAGGGCTGGGTAGCACGATGGCAGGTTGGAGAGGTAGTTTGAAGGCAAAGAATGGGTGGGCCCAGGGAGGGCGGTGTACTAGCTCTGGCCCTGCACTCGGCTCCCGCCTCCTACAGATCATTCTCAACTCCATGCACCGTTACCAGCCCCGTTTCCACGTGGTCTTCGTTGACCCACGCAAGGACAGTGCCCGCTACGCCCAGGAAAACTTCAAATCCTTTGTCTTCACAGAGACCCAGTTCACAGCAGTGACAGCCTATCAGAACCACAGGGTGGGTCACACCAGAGCTCATGCGGACCAGCCCTCCTCTGAGGGGTGGAGACTGAGGCTGGAGATTCCTCCTGCCCACTGGGCATCTGCCTGCATGGTGGCTCTGGAGGTCCTGGGCCAAGGGGGTCTGGGTGGATGACTGGGAGTTCCCAAGGGACAAAATGCCGAAGTGTGGGCTCTTCGGGGCCCAAATGGCTGGAGGCCAGCCGGTAACTAAACTTTCTCTCTGTAGATCACACAGCTGAAAATTGCGAGCAATCCCTTTGCCAAAGGCTTCAGAGAGAGCGACCTGGACTCATGGTACTGTCTCACACAGGTCTTCTTGCTCTAAGCCCAGCCCTGGCCCCAGGCTCCACCCAGGCAGCTCCTAAGGCCTTCACTCCTGACCTGTTTCACTGTTATGTCTTCTGGTTTGCCATGGGATCCCTATCTGACTCTGACCATAATATCTGGGGTGGGGCTCCCCTTGACCTCCTACCCCATTCCTGCTTGTCCTATCTTCAGGCCTGTGTCCCCAAGGCCACTGCTCAGCATCACAGCCCGGAGTCGTAACAACTTTGGTCCCTGCCTCCTTAAGGGTTCGGCAGAACGAGAGAAAGGTGAGGACCCAGCCCAAACACGATGCCAGGCACACAGGTCTCCAGGAAGGGGCTTCATCGTGATCAGCAATAGCCCACCCTCACCCCCACCTAGGCAGAAAGGTCCAGGGCAGGGACAAGGTATAGAGCACAGGAGGGATGCCTGGTGGGCTTCCTGGAGGAGGTGGATCCCAAGCTGGGCATCGGAGATGGAAGCCCATCTTGGGACTGGGAGAGGGTTTTTGGATAGAGGAGAAGCTAAGGAAGAAAGTCCAAGCAGAGACGAGAACAAGAAGAAATACTGAAGCAGGTCAAGATGGGTGACCAGGGACAAGGCAGACAGGACAGGTCTCAGTATTAGGACTGGGCTTACAAGGGGAAATCTGTGAGCCACTTAAACCATTTCCTCCCTCAGAAGCCAGTAAAGCTTCAGCTTTCGACTCCAGGACCCCTACCCAGCCGCACCATCAGCTGCTGCCCGCCCCAGAGGTCCTGCTGGCCCCTGCCACCTACAGGCCTTTCCCTTACCAGGACCTGTACCCTGGAGCCCCTGGCCACATTGGAATCCCAAGGGCTCGGCTGGCACCGTACCCTCTCCCCAACATCGGCCCTGATGGAGATCAGGAAGACCCAACCCTCCCAGGCAAGCTGGGGCTCCTATCCTCCTCTGCCTTGTGCTTGGAACCTAGCCAACACTCCCAGTGATGGCCAAGTGCTTTGGAAGCACTTTTACCCTGTGCCCCACCTCTCCCATCCTCCTCTTGTAAGACATCTTCTAAGGAAGCCCTGATGGCAGTGGTTCCTGCCTCAAAGTCAGTCTGGGCCTCCAATCTTGGAATCAGGACTCCTACTCAGAAGCCCTGAATCCTGACCCCTGCCTCGAAGACGACTTCTCTAAATCCTGTTTCAATTGTCCTTCCCCCACATTAAACTGCTTGACACCGGGAGTCAGAGCACTCTGTCCACAGGAACTCCCAGACAAGACGGTCCCATCACCTTTGTAGGTATCCAAAAGCTGGACCCAGGTGCACAGGGTGATGGTAACATTAATGAGGCCAGCAAGGCTGCACTTAACCTGGTGTGTCCCCTACTTTGTGCACCCATATAAGGACGTAACCGGCTCGGAGAGGCTTCTGCTCACAATCACACAGCCAAGTACATCCGACACCTGTTACTCCATTTAAAAGCTGTGCCCCAAGGCTGGTCCTGAAGGCTAGGAGCCATAGAGGGGTGCTTAATATGACTGGTAGGGATCACACAGGCCAGGGTAGGGACGCGTGTAGACTGGAGAGCCAATCAAGGCCGGAGAGTAAAGTTCAGGTGGACAGGGGCTGGATTCCTGCTAGACAGACACTGGTGGGATAAGGCTGGGGGAGGCGCGTATCCTTCATTCTCTTGGGGTGGGCGCCCCGGGGAACCGGAAGACTCCGACTTTGCTTAACCCGGAGCTCTTCCTGTGAGACCTTCTGGAAAGCACCGACACCTGCAGGAGCGAGAGACAAGGAGCCCAGCAGATCTTCACCAGCCAGACATCTCAACTCCCGAATCTGAAGTCAATTCAGGTTACCCAAGCGTTCCGGAAACACAAAGACCAAAACAACCCGGCTGCACTGATAGGGAAGTCACGCCCCCGGAAAGAAACTCAAGTCAGGGGGACCACTTTACCGGACACGCCTCCACGGGCTCTAGGCCAGGTCTTTCCCTAAGGTGGCGCTCTGGTCCCGGTACACAAAACCGGTTCTACCCTCATCTAGCAAGCCCCTCCTCAGATGCCCCACCCCAATCACCTCTGCTGCCCAATAACAGCTGATCCTGCCTTCTCGCCCCTGTATGCCCCGCCCCCGAAGGCCTCCGAGGCCCCGCCCCAGCTGGCACTGCCCCGTCCGCCTCCGAAGCCCTCTGGAGCAGGCCCCGTCCCGGCGGCCTCTGAAGCCTTGTTCCGTTCCGGCAGTCCCGGACCGGCCGTCCCCGACCGATCCGATTCCCGACCCCACCCGAGGCGCCGCCCCAGCAGGCACACACGCTTCCGACCGGCCATGAGTCTCCGCCCCTCAGTCCCCAGCAACGCCCCCTTCCGGGTCCCGCTTGGTTCCCGGCTCCGCGCCGGCCGGCGCCCTCCATGTCCCGGTCATCTGAGACATGCTGCCTGATTGCCTGTCTGCCGAGGGCGAGCAGCGCTGCCGGCAGCTGCTAGCTGGGACCACTGCCCGGCTACGCTCGCGGCCTGCGGCGGCCGCAGTGCTCGTGCCGCTGTGCCTGGTGCGCGGTGTCCCAGCGCTCCTCTACACGCTGCGCTCCAGCCGCCTGCGCGGGAGGCACAAGGGGCAAGTCAGGTACACCGGCCGCGGGCGCACCTCCTGCGGCCCGTACAGCCCGCTGAATTTTTCCCTTCAAAAACTGGACTCTGCTCCTTGCCGGGAACTGGAGGGAGCCTGTCCGGGGTTCCCCTTCTTTGGCTTCGCCCTCAGCAGAATTGAGAACACTGCAGGGTCAAAGTCTGTATCGCAGGGACACAACAGGCAGACTTGGGGTGTCGGAGCAGCAGGATAGTCTTGCCCTGCTGCCGACCTCATGCCCTAACCTGTATCTCCAGTGCCTCCCCTCACCCCCTAACTCTAATGATATAGGGAGGTAAACTGTCCCCTGAAGGCCTGTGGTCCCAAGACTCCCTTTACTCATTCAGTTTCCCAGGTGGTAAGTGTGACCCCGACGACCAAGATGTAATACATACGGCCCTTCGGGAGACTCAAGAGGAGCTGGGTCTAAAAGTGCCCAAGGAGCATGTGTGGGGTGTCTTGCAGCCTGTGTATGACCCGGTGAGCCACCTCATCCTGTCACGCTGTGTACCCCAAGTGAAGGGTGAGCCTGCCCTGCTCAGGGTCCAAGGAAGGCGTGCAGGGTAGGCTGCGTTGCTCTGGGCTTGAATGGCAAGTGGGTGATTTCAGGGTAGTACCGGTGAGGGCAGAGGGTTAAAACTCTTCGAACTTGTAATCAGGCAGCATTGCTAGAAGCCAAGGAAAAGGACTGGAGGTCTGGGCCATGACTACCCAAGGCCTCTGAATGGCAGAGCAGGTCTGCCTCTGAGGTTTGCTTCTCCTGACTGCTCACCCTCCTCCTACCCCAGGCAAAGGCAACTGTAGTCCCCGTGCTTGCCAACGTGGGCCCATTGGATCTGCAGAGCCTCAGGCCCAACCCTGAGGAGGTGAATGGGGGGTACTGGGGAGTTGGGATGTCCTACCGGGGGATTCAGAGGCAGTCAGTCCTCTGTCCACCCTCTCCTTGTCTCCTGCCCACAGGTGGATGAAGTGTTTGAGCTGTCTCTGGCCCACTTGCTGCAGACACAGAACCAGGGGTATACCCACTTCTGCCAGGGCGGCCACTTCCGCTACACAATGCCTGTCTTCTTGAATGGACCACACCGTGTCTGGGGCCTCACAGCTATCATCACTGAGTTCACCCTAAAGTTGCTGGCCCCTGACATCTACCAGCCCTACCTAGTTGTCCCTGAGCTGCCTAGGAGTTGAGGCCTGGCCTTTAAGTGCCTCTGCCTTCGTTTGACCAGGCTACTCCAGAGCTGATTAAAAGTCTTTGACAACTCTCTCTCAGCATCTCTGTGTGCAGGATGAAAAAGCAGGGCATGGTGGCACACCCTTGGAATTCCAGCATTGGGGAACAGTTAGGTGGATCTCTTGGGGCTGCTGGCCAGCCCGGATAGGCTACTTGGTGAGAACCAGACCAAATAAAAGACCCTGTTTCAAAAAAACCAAGATGGGGCTGGTGAGATGGCTGGGTGGGTAAAGGCACCTACCACAAAGCCCGACAACCATTGTCTAACTTGGGGACCCACGTGGTGGAAGTAGAGAACCAACTCTTGCGAGTTGTCCTCTGACCTCCACATACATGCTCACGTATGTGTATGGATAGAGATACACAGAATACATGTTTAAAACATGGAAGAAGAAAAGTATGTGGTTTACCCTTGTAATGCCTGCACAGTGGAGGCAGAAACTGGCAGATGGAGAATTCAAGGTCCCCTTGCACTTGGGTTACATATTGAGACTTTGTCCCAGAAACCAATAAATTGTTGGGTAGCAGAAGGGGAAGGGATGCTGGAGCTACTGTCAGTGAGATTCCCCTGCCAGGAACACCTCAAAGAAGTGACCAATTGCCAGGACAGAAGTGACCAATTGCCAGGGTGGAGGCCGGTCTAAGTAGAAGGTACCGCCTGGGCGGTGGAAGAGAAGAGATTGTGGAGATGAAGTGATAGGCCAGTCCACACAGAGGGCCACCGTAAGGTCAAGGGGCAGACATGGTAGGGAGACAAAGGGGCATGACTGATTTGACTGTATCCCAGCCAGGGGACAGGGCTGAAATGTGGCGTGATCTTCAGCTGGTTTCCTCAAGGGAACCAGAATGCAGGGCCTTCCCAGCTGCAGTACCCACTTCTTCCACAGAAGCCTCCCCATTTCTGCACACTTCAGCGGTCCCTTCTCTTCACCTCCTTTGTCCCCCTTCTCACCTATTTCCTCTCCCGCCTACCCCCAGCACCCCCTTTGTCACCTCTAGCCCTGCAGCCTTCTTACCCAGCAGCAGGAACACATGACGGTGGCAAAAATAGCTCCATCTGACAGAGTGTGAATGGAGGGGCATAGCAGGAGACGGCTGGGCAGCCAGCGCTAGGGAAGGGCCCTTGGGCAGTGTGGGCACCTGATCCCCTCCCCTGCTCAGTCACACACTTGCTCAGATGGGTCACTTTAGTCTTGGGTTCTGTTGCCCTAAGCATACACCAGAGCCAGCAGCAGCAGAGCAGAGACGCAGCTGTCAGAGGTAAGGCCCCCAAAGGGCTGACTCCAGCCTTGACCTCCAGGTAGAGCTCCTAACCCTTCCCTTCAGTCTGTCCTAGGGCAACCTTGCTGATGTTTCTTTATTCCATCTTGGTGGCTAGGTGTGTGCCCAGTGTCTCTGGTAGGTGAGAGCTTTCTCTTGAGTCTCTATGTCTGAGCCACCATGGCGTGTGCAGGGCCAGCTGGTGGGCGGCAGCGGGTGAACATGCAGGAACACATGGCCATTGACGTGAGTCCCGGCCCCATACAGCCCATCCGCCTCATTTCTGACTACTTCCCACACTTCTACCCCTTCCTGGAGCCGGTGCTGCGTGCACCAGGCTCGCAGGCTATGCTGGCCCCGGCCATCCACTCTGCATCCCAGCTGCAACCCAACCCAGAGCCAGAAGGAGACTCGGATGACAGCAGTGAGTAGGGGAAACAATGAGGGGGTGCTCCCTAGGACCGGATGGGGTGTTCTAGCACCATGGCAAAGGCCAGGCAAGTGGCACTGTGCCATGTGGGATAGGTGGGTGCAGAATTGGGGTGACCATGCCTGCCACTTGCCACCTTAGCTGCCCTGGGTACCCTGGAGTTCACACTTCTCTTTGATGCGGACAACAGCACCCTGCACTGCACAGCCCATCGTGCCAAGGTGAGGATGAAGGCAGCGGTTCTGGGATGGGACAAGCCACAGGCCTCTACATTCATTTTCTGTTTCCAGGGCCTCAAGCCACCAGCCTCGGGCTCTGTGGACACCTATGTCAAAGCCAACTTGCTGCCGGGGGCCATTAAGGTAAGGGTAAGATCTAGGCCCCTTAGATGGCAGGGCCAGCTTAGGTACCCATGGATCCTGCTTCACCACTACTCCAAGAACTAAGTCTCAGTTGCAAGGATTCAAGAGTCAAGGCAGGAGGCCAGGAGGATGCCTGACCTCCCTGCCTGGCTCCAGGCCAGCCAGCTTCGGACACGCACTGTTCGAGGCACCAGGGGACCTGTCTGGGAAGAGACACTCACCTATCATGGCTTTACTTACCAGGATGCCGGACGGAAGACCCTGAGGTGAGGACCCAGATCAGGCCACCGGTAGGGAGGCAGGGGGTGGGGCTCGTATGACCAGGAGTGACCTGGTTGGCCACTAGGTTATGTGTGTGTGAAGACTCACGACTGCGGCGACGTGCATCCCCCTTAGGGGAGCTACGAGTGCCCCTGAGGAAGCTAGTGCCAAACCAAGCCAGGAGCTTTGACATTTGTCTGGAGAAGCGGAGGCTGGTGAGTGGAGTTGGGGCTCAGGTTGGGCCCACAGAGCCAAATTCCATGTAATGAAAATGGGGTAAGGGACCTGGACAATATCTCCTGAACTGACCAAGGGTTTTGCTTTTTCAGACCAAGAGGCCCAAGAGTCTGGACACAGCCCGTGGGATGTCTCTGTATGAAGAGGTAGGTAGGAGAACTTGACCGAGCAGGTATGGAGACAGACAGGCCCAGGCGGCCCAGGCTGGGATCAGAGGTTTGGAGGAATTTGAGTCCATCTCTCTCATAAGTTCTCTGAGTCCTCAAGAACTGGCTAGGCAGGGTGACAATGACTCTTTTGCTAGGGTAGCCTGGAGATGAGGAACCCTAGGAAGGACCTGCAGAGTTCTCAGAAGACAGGCAGGCAGAGAACCAGCAATCTAGAGGCAGAGCCTGAAAGTTGGTATTTGTGACCAGAGGTGGGAGGACTGGCTAGGGTGGAACAAGCTCGTCTACCACTAGTGTCCGCTCTGGGGATACCTCTGGGTGTTCCTGTCAGGAGGCAGTGACGGTAACCCCACAGCCCGGTAGGAAGGGCATCTACAAGGCTGGAGGCAGGCCTTCCAGCTGCTCCCATCAACAGAGTAGGTGCCCTGCCCACTAGAGGAGGCCTAGCTTCTGCAGCGGCTGATTAGCTAACCCCAAGCCTTTGAGTCCCACACAGTGGTCATCAGTAAGAACCCCCAAACAGTCTGCCGATCCCAGAGCCCATGTGCAGTTGTGCCCTGGCACACGGAAGCGGAGGCCATACACTCCTGCATTACCAAGCACTGCCAATGACAAAAGTCTAGATCTCTGCCATCAATTCTACCCCAAAGATGGGAAAGAAGGCTTGATTACCCAGGCCGTCATCCTAGCTGGGGGCTCCAATGTCTAAAGAATGTGGCAAAAGCCGGGCGGTGGTGGCGCATGCCTTTAATCCCAGCACTCGGGAGGCAGAGACAGGCGGATCTCTGTGAGTTCGAGACCAGCCTGGTCTACAAGAGCTAGTTCCAGGACAGGCTCCAAAACCACAGAGAAACCCTGTCTCGAAAAACCAAAAAAAAAAAAAAAAAAAAAAAGAATGTGGCAAAGGATATTCATAACATGGTCAGCCAGGCAGTGGTTGTGGAGGTGGGCTTAAGAGGTAAGAGACCTGTCTCTCTCTCTGGTGACAGTCTCCCAGAGCTATTTCCATTGCAAGGGAACAAGCCACTTAGAAAGCTCCTGGTTTTGACACGTCACATGCATGGCTGTGACAATCATCAGTTCTCCTACTGACAGAGAGGTGAGCAGCAAGCCCCTGCCTTTCTTGGGCTTTGGAGGATACAGATCTCTGAGTGCCACTGTAAGGTCTCTTCTGGGAACGGGGGAAATGGCTGTTTAAGGAAATAAAGTTGATGGCCTGGTTTTTCTATAGCCATCTGTGCTCTCACAGTGGGGCCCGGCCGCTTGAGACAGGTGGCAGGCTTCAGACAGGACAGGGTCTGACTTAGCTTGCATCTCCAGGAGGAGATGGAGGCAGAAGTGTCTGGGGAAGAACGTGGACGCATCCTCCTGTCCCTATGCTACAGCTCCCAGCGTGGTGGCTTGCTGGTGGGCGTGCTGCGCTGTGCCCACCTGGCCCCCATGGATGCCAATGGCTACTCGGACCCCTTTGTCCGCCTGTGAGTAGAAACAGACAGGTGGGCATGGAGAATGAGAGAGAAAACCTTTGGTTCTGCAGGGGCACACCTGACAAGCCCATCTCTCCTTCTAGTTTTCTGCATCCAGGTTCTGGGAAGAGATCCAAATACAAGACCAGTGTTCGAAGAAAGACCCTGAACCCTGAGTTCAATGAGGTGGGTCACAGCTGGGAGAACCCAGTAAGTGTGGTCATGGTTTAGCAAACCAGGCCCTGCTTGAGCCCGTTTCTAAAGCGGCAAAGAACTCACCTCTTTCCTGTCCCTTTCCCTACAGGAATTCTTTTACGCAGGTCATAGGGAGGAGTTGGCCCAGAAGACACTGCTGGTGTCGGTGTGGGACTACGACCTGGGCACAGCTGATGACTTCATTGGTGAGCAGCAACACAGGGTGCTGAGGGGGGTGTCTCACGAGCCTCTGCTGGCTACTGACCCCTCCCTCGGCAGGTGGGGTACAGCTGAGTAACAGAGCCAGTGGGGAACACCTTCGCCACTGGCGTGAGTGTCTGAGCCGCAGTGACCGCCGGCTGGAACTGTGGCACCTGCTGGACAGTGTGCCCCCACAACTTGGCGACTAGCCAGCACAGAACCCTGCTTGCAGCCTGTTCAGGGGCCAAGATGTTGCTGCAGCTAGAAAGAGCTGTAGGTTGGCCCTACCTGCTGTGCCCATTCCTGTCTCCTTTCAGTCACCCTACCTCCAAACACAATGCAAAATAAACATCTGCTTCTGCTAGCCAGGTGCCTGGCCTTGCTCTAGGAACACCTGCCTCTTCTCTGCCTGCTTCACAGGGCAGACCAGGCCCATACCCTCCTGTCTCTTAGCATTTAGAGCAGTGGTTCTCAACCTTCCTAACAATGCAACCCTTCAACATAGTTCCTTATGTTCTCATAACCCCCAGCTTCTAACTGTAACTTTGCTACTGTTATGAGTCATAATGGAAATTTCTAATGTGTGACCCCCAAGAGGGCCATGACCCACAGGATGAGAAGCACTGCCTTAGAGGCTGCAATGGGCCAGGTTCACGACTGGGCACACAGCTCAGCGGCAGCATGCTCACCCAGCATGCCCTCAGGCCTGGGATGGATCCCCTAGTGTCAAGCCCAGCCTTCACCTCCCTGTCCCATCCTGCTTCTCTTGCCCAGTGAGGGAGCAAACGCCCCAAGTGGATGGGGGTGGAGGGGTGAAAAGCACAAGCACAGACAAGCTGTGATCGGAGAGCAGGCAGCACTTGTTTATTGTCCAGCTTCCCAGAGGGATGTGAAATTCGGAGGCCAGGGTACAGCTCAGGAGGCTGCCTGCCGGGCCGGGTGCTGCAGAGCAAACCGGTGCATTCGCTCCTCCAGCTCTGGCCGGAAGTGTCGGATCAGACCCTGGAAAGGAGAGGGAGGCACTGTATGAACCAGAATTCAAAATTCCCAAAGCTCTGGACTCTAATGCCACCCACCACAGTATGGCACAGCAGGGCAGTGTGTACCTGTACTGGCCATGCGGCCCCATCACCCAGAGCACAAATGGTGTGGCCCTCTATCTGCTTGCTGATCTCCCAGAGGGAGTCAATCTCAGCTGGCCGGGCATCCCCCTTCACAAAGCGGGCCATCACTTTGTTCATCCAGTCAACACCTGCAACAGAGCAGCAAGAGGGGCCTGAGGCTCTCCCACTAGGGAGGGGGACAACACTCAAGGGGTGCAGGCCTCATGGCAGATTAAGAACAGCCCAGCAACCAAACCCCAGCCTTTCTGGGAAGCTCACCCTCACGGCAGGGGGTACACTGGCCACAGCTCTCATGCTTGTAGAACTCAATGAGACGAGCAATGGCTTTCACAATGTCTGTCTAGGAGACAAGAAGCAACGCGCAGACACCTTAGCCTCCCACAAAACCCTTAGCCTGGGTTCCAGTGTTCTGGCCCACTCTCCCACTGTACTGGGATCTCAGGCTGTAAGGATTGGTAGGGTAGGGAGTAATGCCCAGGCTGGCAGGAGGATTGTGGGGCATGGGGCTATTACCGAGCGATCCATGACAATCACCGCAGCTGTGCCCAGGCCTGTCTGTGCCTGCACCAGTGCATCAAAGTCCATAAGCACTGTCTCACACACAGATTTGGGGATCAGTGGAGTGGATGAGCCACCAGGAATCACAGCAAGGAGGTTGTCCCAGCCGCCGGTGACACCACCTGTGGCAATACCCAAAAGAATTACCATGGGTAAGCCTGGCACACCCGCCTAGGCTTAAGACAGGACTAATGTCAGCCCTGAACCCAGTCCCGCCCCTGAATTTCCCCCTGTGCCACCTCCTAGCACCTTGCCCCTCCTGGCTGGTCCTCAGGCTTACCAGCATGCTTCTCAATCAGCTCCTTCAGTGGCACAGACATCTCCTCCTCCACAGTGCAGGGGTGGTTGACATGGCCAGAGATGTTGAACAGTTTGGTACCTGAGTTGCGTTCTCGGCCAAAGCCAGCAAACCAGGTGCCCCCACGACGGCAGATGGTGGGGGACACAGCCACTGTCTCCACATTGGCCACAGTTGTGGGGCATCCAAATACCCCTTCAAGAAAATAAAAAGAGATCGGTGACTGGTGGCTTCCCAGGAAAGGGAACAATTTTTTTTTTTTTTTTCCAAGACAGGGTTTCTTCGTGCAGCCTCAGCTGTCCTGGAACTTGCTCTGTAGACCAGGTTGGCCTTGAACTCAGAGATCCCCACCTGCCTCTGCGCGTGCCACCACTGCCTGGCTGGGAACATGTTTCTTGCAGTGGGATGTTTCCTGCCCTGGTCTTGTGGCAGTTCCTACTCTTATCTACTCAGCACTCTTGCCCACACTGCTCTCCAGTCCAGGGGAGCTCATCTGCTCACCACCACACTCCTAGCTCCTACAGCAGGTACTGTGGGACGCAGTCCTCAGCTAGCAGAGGACATGGGTGTCTGATGGTGGCACTGGTGGAGCCTGTGTTACTGATACCTTCTATCAATCCATCCTCCCCTCCAAAGGGCACAGAGAAATATCGTAAGAACCACCCAGGGGGCCCCTGGTCAGATCCAGGATCTCACAAGGTCTTACCCACGTCTGCTGGGAAGGGTGGCTTCAGGCGTGGCTTTCCCTGCTTGCCCTCAATGGACTCAATGAGTGCTGTCTCCTCTCCACAGATGTAGGCCCCAGCCCCGCGCACCACAAACACGTCAAAATCATAGTCAGAGCCACAGGCATTCTTGCCAATCAGACCTGCTTCATAGGCCTCTCGGATAGCTACCTGTGGGACAAAGTGTGAGTTCCCCAGCCCCACCACACTCCAAGAGTCAGCCTCTAATCCAGGGGCCATGGAACCCTTAAAGACTTCCTAAATCAACCTTTGGAGCACAAAGGAAGACGTCTGGAGCCATGTCCTGTTGCTGATGTAAGCAGAAATGGGATACCCCAGCCCAGGCTGGACCACAGACTAGTGCTACCATCTAAGAACGGCTGTGCCAGGAAAGGAAGCACGAGAGGGATGCATGCACTGCCGGCCAATACCCATGTGCTCACCTGCAGATTGGAGGCCTCGTTGTAGAACTCCCCTCGGATGTAGATGTAGGCAGCCCGGGCGCCCATGGCTCGGCCTCCCACCAGGCAGCCCTCCACCAGCTTATGAGGGTCATGGCGCATGATCTCTCGGTCCTTACAGGTTCCTGGCTCCCCCTCATCAGCATTCACCACCAGGTACTTGGGCCTGTGGGGTCCTGAACATCAGTCAGGCTACAGACATACCAGGACCCAGCACTCAACCAAACTCCATTCCTTCTGTACCCAGAGAAGCCTCAAAAAAGCTGATCCTCTCTGCCCCAGCTCATGTTCTTTGCCTCACTCCAATGACAGCCCAGTCATCTTTGGCCAGGTATGTCCACAAGAAAAGTCTTTGCTCTCCCTGTGCCTTCCCTTCCGAGTCAGCTCCTGGTCATAACAACTCTTCTCCAACCTCCACCACAGCCCAGAGACCAACAAGAGGTAGAGCAGCTGACTTAAAAAATAAATAAATAAATAAACAAACAAACAAATCAATAAATAAATAAAAGGAAAATAAAAATTTGGTTGAGTGCGGTGGCCCACACCTTTAATCCTGGTACTCTTCTTTTTTTGTTTATTTTTTTGAGACAGGGTTTCTCTGCAGCTTTGGAGCCTGTCCTGGAACTCACTCTGTAGACCAGGCTGGCCTCGAATTCAGAGATCCGCCTGCCTCTGCCTCCTGAGTGCTGGGATTAAAGGCATGCACCACCAATGACTGGCTATCCCAGTACTCTTGAGTCAGAGGCAGTCTGGTCTACAAAGCAGGTGCCAGGATAGCCAGAGCTATACAGGAAAACCCTGTCTGGATAGCCCATGGCTCACTGCTATGATTTACACTCTAAGTGTCAACTGAAGCTGTAGATCAAAAGTTGAACCAGCATTATCTTTCTAATTCCCACATATCATACTCAGGCATGAAAAAAGAAACTTCAGATTTGAAAGGAGCAGATTCTGCGAAGCTCAACAATTACTAATAAGGCCTGCCTGAATCAAAATCTTGTGTGGATTGTAGACTCTTGCGTCCCTGCTGAGGAAATCCGGAGAGCTCTTAAGTTCTGCCTAACTGCTTACAGTCTGATAAGTCCCCCAGAATCACTCTCAGAGTCCAGTGCTCCAGCAGCCCCCAGTCTGTCCTACAACCACATCTCAGGGTACTCCCCACAAACCTGCCATCTGAGGGCTTATTCATGAAGCTCCATTTGAGGCCAGTGGGAAAGCCAGCACCACCACGGCCCCGTAAGCCAGATGTCTTGATCTCACCCAAGATCCAGTCAGGCCCTTTCAGCAGGATCTCTTTTGTCTTGTACCAGTCACCCCGACTCTGGGCCCCTTTCAACCTGGAAGGAGTAGGAAAGGATGTAAGGAAGAGGCCCTTTGAAGGGACCCAGCAGTCCAAGGGCACTGTCTCACCTCCAGTCATGGCGACCATACAGGTTGGTGAAGATCCGGTCTTCATCCTTCAGTGAGCCAAATGAGGTTTTCTTGGGTGCTGTCTGGAGAGACAGAAGGTCAGGAGGCGGCCCAGCAGAGCTCTGTGGCCATGAGGGGTTGGGCAGACGCTTCAGCTTCTTGGGCCCTTCAGAATAGGAGGGGCTGGGCCACAGAGGGGGCCGAGGCTTCAGACTCTTCTAATGGTGACAGGTAGCTGCAACGCTACCTCTTTCAGTGCTTCCTGCTTAGAAGTTACAGAGCTAAACATTCCACACCTCACCTCAACTCACCCAGGTAACAATCCTGAGGTAGGAATCCTTTCCTCCATTTTACAAAGGAGGAATCAGAGGCCCAGAGCAAAAGGAACTTAGGGACGGTCATAAAGCTAAAAGCAGATGGCCCCTGCTGAGCCCATGTTATGCTTCAACTATGGCATCAACACTGCTTCAAGTCCAGCATGTATTTGTCTGGAGGGGTCTGACATCCCTGCTAAGGAAGCAAACTGTGTTCACTGGGGATGGGACACAAAAGGGATGTGGGGCCTACCTGGGATAAAGTGGAGATGTATGGGCTGGAATGGGTCATGACAGTAGAAAGTGGGCAGACTTCCAGTCTCGCCTCCTTAAAAGTACTTCTCAGGTGTTGTGGTGGATGCCTGTGGTCCTAAGAGCACCCCGGGACGCTGATAAGAGCATCATTACTAGTTCGACTACAGCTTGGGCTA